TTCCAAAGTTGACTCATATTGTATTTTAAATTCCAAAGGGTCTTCTAAACATTTCCTTTGAAAGGGAAAACCTGGTTATAATTGACTGAGTATGTATGTCATACATATATGTGACTCCTCATTTTTGATGGCTGCTTAAATAAATCCTCCAAACAGTGAAACTCTCCAAAGTGATTCAAGCATAGGATACAGTTTGATCTATATTAATTCTCTAACATTATTTCCCTTTCATACTAAATGTAATCCAGCCTAGAGACTAGACTTATAGGCCTCTGCCTCATATTTGTGAAATTAGGTAGGCATACGTGTCTCTTTTGATAATTGTGAGAAGTATTAAAACTCCTGTCTGCAAAAAGCATATTGAAAGTTATTTTTATATAATCACATATAATTAATTAATTTTTTTGTGTTAAACCTGTTGTAAAGTAATTTGAGTCCTTAGGCCAATAGGATCATGGCTTAAAGGTCAAGGGGTCACATAGGATCATGTCCCTAATTTCAATAAAATTTCAGTGAAATTAGATAAGGACAGCTCTTTTTTCCTTCCTTGATATGGTCATTGGTTGGATTAGGAATTTCCTTTTTCTCCAGGAGTTTGAAAACTTTGTTTTTATGCCTTTTTTCCTCCCTGAGCTTCTGAAAAACAAAGTGTCCTAGTGTTTCAGTGGATTTAGATCAGGCAGTTCCCTCTGAGATCATTGGTAATTCATTCTGTTGTCTTGACTCATTTGTCAAATGGGGATAAATATAGTTGACATCTTCTTAAGGCATAAATATGTTTTTTAAAAAAGAAATATTTACTCAATTGTATAATAACATATAAAATCTCAAACAGGATTCCTTTTATACTCTGAATGGCATTGATGTTGGCTGTAGTACAAACCCACTAGTAACTGGAAAATGCTTATCTTCCAAGGAATTAAAAGGAGGAATCATTAGAAACAACAAGTGTACTTTTTCCCAGACTAAAAATTAAAATCTATGGAGCAAAATGCATAATTTCCAAAAGAAGGGCCCCAAGCTGATAGGATAATATTGCTAACTTAAACCATCTGATTCCTGTCACTCAGATTCCTCATCTTCAAGATGGGGATTAGCTTGAAATCACCTTCTTGGAGGTAAGGCATCCGAGGATAACATCCCACAGATCTATAACACTGAGTTTACCTCTCCCTTGCTTTACAAGATGAATAAATTTAGCTTGAGGGGAAGAGTGGGTAAAGATTAATAAAGATGAACATGGTGTTTCCTTTTCAGAGAAAAGCTGTACTGATTTAAACAACAGCATCTATACATTAAGGGAAGTGTTGTCATTCTCATGATTGAGTCTTAGAGTTGGGAATGTCCCTAGGCCTTGGTCCAGCCTCTCAGTTTCCTCCACAGATTTGCTGTCTTCTGTTTTCTCTGGAGCTGTGTTGTTTACCTAGAAGGCAACCTTTCCTGGAGTGGTTGAGCCCACCTCTTACCCTTACTACAAGGGCACTGCCCAACCCCACCTTCTTGTCTTCTTGCTTCTGAGAATTTCCCACTTGGTCACTTGCTTGAATTTTTGCTACCTCAAGAATAAAGGGGGCCTCTGAACAATCCCCTTTTCTTCTGATTTAAAGATGGGGGATAGAAGTGGTGTGTATGTGATTGCCAAGTAATTTCCAGGGCTTGTTGTTACCTACTGGGTTTCTTGCTTGTCCCTTGAAGTAGGAACCCTTTACTTCCCTGTTTCCTTAAAATTTATTTGTACTTTTCACAAGTTCCTTGGGGGAGCAGGGGGGTGGGGGTGGGGGAGGGAAGTACTCATTAGTACATTATTCAAGAGATTAATAAGCCCTATGGAATATTGTCAATCTAAAGTAATCATTAAATTCTTATTCCTGAAAATCACCTGCCCAAAATGCAGAATGGAATTCTTTCTTTTCTTTTCTTTTCTTTCTTTCTTTCTTCCTTCCTTCCTTCCTTCCTTCCTTCCTTCCTTTCTTTCTTTCTTTCTTTCTTTCTTTCATTGCAGGTGGACAAAAGTAAACAGAAATAGTCTCAGATATAGAGGAAAAACTGATGGTTGCTAGTTGGGAGGGGTGTTGGGATGAGGGAGAAGGTGAGGGGATTAGAAAGCACAAATTGGTGACCACAGTATTGCCATGGGGATATGAAAGATAGTTTGGGAAATATAATCAATAGTGTCGAGAATGGAATTCTTAATACTGAAGATACACTGAAATGTTTGGATAACACAATCTTTGTTAAACTTCAAATTGTATTATTTATGTTTGCTTCTAATGGGTTGTCAGAAAAGTCATGATGCATTTTTGCAATGAGAAACATAGAAAAAATATGTCATGACTTTTCCGACAACCCAATAAATTAACCCTGCCACATTTACTTTCAATCTAATATGGATAAATCTATATTAGAATATTTATTGCCAGAGATTTTTCTTTTTCTCCATAATAAGGATAGTTCTTTCTTGAAATCTTGCTTTAGTCAAACTTTACTAAACCATTAGGGTAATTTAAAATTTCATATTAATGTACAACTTTAAATTGTCTGCATTGCTAATGTATATTTAATTTAGATGAGATTCTTTATGCTTAGAAATTTTGTTATGATAGTCTAAAGTTATGGTTTCTGAATTATTTTAAAGAATATTTGTTGTCAACTATTGGATGAAAAGAGCTATTTGAATAAGAAAATATCCAGATATTAGATAAGTGGTTTTTTTTCGATATTAGCTTTTTATTTCCTAGTCTCCCATTCAACTGTTCTGTGACATTGCAGAAATTAGTCACACCTCTGTAGTAATTTCTTCCAGTGTAAACCAGGATTGACATTTTCTTTCTGTTCCCTAGAGATAAAATGAGAGCTGTGGCTTAGGATTTTGAAAGACTTTGGATTCAATGGCTCAAAGTCTGCAGTGTCACTTCTAATATATGTTCCTACATTTTCCAATTAGAAAGCATTTCCACAAATCAGATTTAAAAAATGCATAGTACTGAATCACCATATTTTATATAAGAAATGAAGTGTAAGGACCTTGACTTTTAAAATCTTTGTAAAAAATTCAGTGTGAGAATATGTTTGGTTTGGGATATTTAAGTCTTTTTGAATTTTAAATATTTCCTCAAATAACCCTAAGAAAGAAATGCAAGCATTTAATTGGGCTTCATAAGGATTGACAGCTCTGAGAGATTTGTAATTTTTTTTCACAAGGTTAATATTAGGTATTTCCAATCACATATAAAAAGTTGAAAGGAAAACTTTTGTTTCATTTTATTAGTCCCATTTATAAGCCCAGGTCAAATACTGTTTCCTCTGAGATGTCATCATATCAGCTAGGAAGTGGTTACTCTGTCTGTATAACTACTCTCACATGTAACTGTTATGGTTCTTCCCACAGAACTTGGTTGACGTGGAGTGTTTTCCATGTCTGATCTCTTCTCTGCTTCCTGGTGCCAGGAGCATATATGTTTTGTCTTTGACTTTTCTAGTAAGGCTGTTAGTAACATGGTCTAAGACCATAGGCAGGTCTGGGCTTACTGTGGCTGCTTTTAAAGCTGTAAATTGGAAGGAAAATAATGTCTAACTATAGATGTTTCAAAGAGTACAAGAGGTAAAACTTCTGCATATGCTAAGAATTACTTTAGGTTTGCCATTGGTTGGTTTTCCCCTCTGTGCCTCCACGTTTTCATCTAGTGCTCATCTAGCTAGAATTAAAGTCGCTCAATTTGAGTAAGATAAATGTTGAATGAATTTTTACTTTTACAGCTTAGTTTTGAGGATACTCACTGGTCTGACCTGCTTCTGAATCTACTCCTTGCTAATTTTGTCATCTTGTACAATTTACTTAACTTTTCTAAACCAGAGACTGGTAAACAATGGCCCACAGACCAAATCCAGCCCACTGCCTGTTCCTGTATGGTCTGTGAGATGAGAATAGTTTTTACATTTTTAAATAGTGAAAAAAATCACAAGCAGAATAATATTTCGTGACATAAAAATTACATTTAATTCATATTTTAGTATGCATAAAAGTTTTAATGGAACATAGCCATGCTTATTCATTTATGTATTATCTATGGCTGCTTTCATGCTACAATAGTTTAACTACATGATTCACAAAGCCTAAAATATTTACTGTCTCTTTGCATAGAAAGTTTGCCTACCCCTGCTCTAAGCCTCTGTACAATATGAAAAATAGCACCTATTTCAGAGAAGTTTGAGATTACATGTGAAAAATGCTTAGTACAAGGACAACAGATACTAAACATTCAGTAAATATTAGCTATGGATGGTGTTATAATATTTATTATTTTTAATCTTCTCATAATTTATATAGTGATGCTGTACCAAAAATTCTCTTGATACTCACTAAAAATATAATTACTTTTATATTATACTTAGATATAATTTAATTTAGTTTTAATTTACTATGTTTGTATTAGACTATTCTGGTACTCCTGATGTTCAAAGACCTCCCCACTTTCCCCTCAACCTACTTTGCCATTTAATTTTCCATCACTCTCCTTCATCTGACTCACTGTAGTCTGACTGTACATCCACTAACCTTGTAAAACCTTTCCTGTTCTATGTCCCCCTTCATCTCCCATTGCCACATGCCAAGTCTAGTCCATCTTCCAAACCTGGCAACAACATTACTCTCTTCACACAATCTTTTATTATTTGTGTGTACACCAAGCCACACAATCCCCCTTCCCCAACAACAAAAACCAACGCAAATGCAGTTGGAGAGTCAATTCTTTCTCCACGACCTTCTGCATTTTGTCTCTCTATCTTAGAGCACACATCACTTTCTTGGTTGTGCTTTAATTATATACTTCTAATCTATACTCTTTCCAGGCAATACCATTATTATTGATCTGTGTAGCCTGTAGAGTACCCCAGATGTGTTTACACATAGCAATACTGAGAATGTGTTTTTTTTGAATGCGTGAATTTCCCTTTTTTTTTTTTCTGACTTTTTAAAGTATGGATTTTTGGCCTCTTTTCAGACAGAATTCCTTGCTATAAGCCAGCTGTCTTTCATCCATGATTTGGGACCAAAGGGCATGTAAGTTCCAGTGTTGGATCTTTAAAGAGAAGTGTGAAAATTAATAAGCACTAACATTTGATTTATGCCATGATGGTGGAAATCACCTGGTTTTATTGCTAGCTTCTTTTCTCCCCAACAGAATCAGAGCAACTCAGAGGCAATCTATTTATACAAAACAAAGTATCTTGCTACATTAAACAATGATAGCAACTGTTCCACCCTCTTTCTTATGTGCTTACAGCACCGGTTTCCTCTAACCCAACAGTTGGAATGTTTAATACAGGTAGTAAATATGATGTTTGGGAAAATGCATTAAAAAATCAAACATATTATACTGTATATTTGAAAGTTGCTAAGAGGGTAGATCTTAAAAGTTCTCATCACAAGAAAAAAAAATCATAACTGTGTCACAATGGATGGTAACTAGATTTATGGTGATTGTTTCACTTTATATACAAATATCAAATCAATATGCTGTATACCTGAAACTAATATAATGTTATATGTCAATTATATTTCAATTAATCAAACATACAAGGTCCTTTGTAATCACTTATAAAAGTTAGCTGTTTATCACTCATTTTCCTGACTAAAAATAATACTGTGTAAAATGTTTGTTATCTAACAAGACTGAAATTTACTTAATGATTATTTTGCTTCAAAATATGAAAGCCTGATATTATAAAGAGATTAACATTTTTAGTAAAGATCATTGTTAGTAGTTGTTTTAAAATATGTCTTTTGTTTAGCCATTATTATTGTTATTTCTTTTCACATCTTTCAAAATCAAGATCTTTTTCTTTCCAAAGCTAGTAGCTTTGCTTTACTTTCTTTGGCATGGCTTGGTCCTAGAATTGTTAAGTGAAAGGATATAGAAATGGTTTGGGATTCCTGGGGGAGCACCTCCTATGGTCTCAACAGCAGCTGAACCATCCCCATGCAGGCACTGTATGGGGTCTTTTTTAAGCTATTGACAGTGATGAGGGAATGCTCTGCATTTATAACCAGAAGCCAGGATTTGAAAGGTCCTGCAGTATGCGCAATAGAATTATGCTGCCCCCAATGCCAACAGGTCTACATTTGACCACAGTGCTTCAAGGATTAGCTGCTAGAGTACTCAGCTTAGCAAATATGATACTGACCTATTTGAGAGTGAAGAAGGAAAGGTTAGGAAGGAAAGTCATTTGAGGATGTAACCGTTTATTTAGTCCCCAGTTAGAAGGCTGTATCAGCTAAGAGTGAGTTGCAGATTTGAAGATGATCGGTTGATTTGATGTCCGTTTCAGAGAAGGCATGATAATGAAAAGATCCGGGGGACACAGGATACCAGGTTTGAATTGCTGTGGTCATGGAAGAGCCTGCTACCGGTGGTCAAAAAGGTAGGACCTAGGAGTTTTGTGTTTTAATAAACTGGATATTTGGGGAGTTTTTACATACTAGTTTTAAATTAAATTATTAAAAATCAATTATAATTCCTTTGAAAGTCATAGCAGAGAGAATTTTAAATTATGTTAAGTTTCAAGTTTCAGCATCCATTTAAACATTCTTCTCACACCTGGACTTGTAGGTAGAGTGTGTAAATTATATTAGATACGTAAAAACCCAGTGGGCCACAGGACTCAAAAATTGGTCAGCCAGGAACATATACAGATGGCCAATAAGCACAAATAAATATGCTTGGAATTGAGTCACTAGTCATAGGGAACTATTGGGTCGTCGGGAAAGTCATGATGCATTTTTGCATTGAAAAACATAGAAAAATACGTCATGACTTTCCTGACGACCCAATATAAACCAAAACCACAGTGAGATAGAACTTCACACCCACTGGATGGCTAATGATAAAAAAGATGGACAATAACAAGTGTTGCCAAGGATGTAGAAAAATCGGAACGCTTATACATTGCTGATGGGAATGTGAAATGGTACAGCCACTTTGAAAAACAGTGTGATGGTTCCTCAAAATGTTAAACACAGAGTTAACATAGGCCCCAGCAATTCCACTCCTATGTGTTTACCCAAGAGAATCGAAAAAATATGCTTATATCAAAACTTATCTATGAGTGTTCATAGCAGAATTATTCAGAACAGCCAAAAAGTGAAAACAACCCAAATGTCCATCAACCGATGAGTGGCTAAACCAAAGGTAGTGTATCCACACAGTGGAATATTATTCAGCTATAAAAAAGGAATGAAGACTGCGAATGGGTAGTGGTTTTCTTTCTGGGTTAATGAAAATACCTGGAATTAAGTGGCCATGATGGTTGCACAGTTTTGTGAATACATTAAAAACCATTGAATTGAACACACTTAAAGGGTGAATATTATTGTATGTGAATTATATCTAAATAACATTTTTAAACTTTTTTTTTAAAACTATGATCCCAGATAGATTTTTTTTTTAATTGTTAGTTTCAAGTGTACAGAACAATGCAATAGTTACCCTTTTCACCCTCACAAAGTAACAACCCCCCTTCCCCAAAGGATAGAAGAAATTAGAAGGAAAAGATCAAAAGATTAAACTAGAGAAAATCAAAAATTTCTGTTATAAAGAACAATTTTACTAAAATAAAAAGGGAAATAATATACTATAAAATACTTGCTTTCAAATAAACTTATGGAACTGATATAAATGTCCCATAAACCTGGGATATACATAACATCACAGGAAATTCAGACACTCCCACTTGAGGTATCGGCCCACCCTCTCCCACCCGCACTGTAGAACCCCGGGAGTACTCGGAACAAATGCCAAGCCAGGAGAGGAATGGAGTGGACGTCAGCCTGCCAGCACTTGCTTCCTGCCCTCACCATGCCTCTCCGGGAGGCTGGTCTTCCCCACGCACTGGGGCCCTGGTGCGCGTTCCTCCTGAGCGCTCCTCCCCAGTCCTCATCTTTCCCTCAGGTAGCTGCTGCATGCTACCGGCCAGGCTTTCGACTGCAAGCACCTGCGAGTCTTTGACTAAAGGCTTGCTCTGCGCTGCCTGTGTAACAGAGCAGGCCGGAAGTGTTCACAACCCCCAGGAGCAGCTGTCAGCCAAAAGCTGCCCATCACCCTTTGGGTGGGATGATCCTGCCGCAAGGTTTACGCTGTCTCCTGGAGCTCCCAGCCCAACTGCCCACAATAAAGCGCACGAAAGCTCATTCTTCATGGCCCCCTTCCTTGCTTTCCTTCCTGTCCTTCCCTACCCATGCTCCCAGTAAGCTCCCTAGTAAGCCCCTTTAGAAACTGCTGTCACTTACATCCTTGTCTCAGAGTTGACTTCTGGGGCAACCTAACCTAGGACATCTGAAGAAATGGAAGCCTCGGTCTGGTCCAGTCAGTCATTTATTGAGCGTCTAATGTTTGTCACGTTGTGTATTAGATGCTGGGAAAACAGTGTGAACAAAACCAAGTCCCCCGCCCTCACGGAACTCGATTAGAGGGGAATGGAGGCAATGGTGAAGCTGCCAAACAGTGTAAATGATATCAGTGCACGTGGTGACAGAGCTTTGAGGAACAACAAGAGGGCAATAGGGTAGTGAGGGACTTGAGGACTGGAGAGGGTGGCTTTAACTCCAGGAGTCAAGCAACTGATGTTTGAGTGATAACCTCTATGAGAAGGGACAGCCAGGAAAGATGGGGGAAGACTTTGTTATAAGAAGGAAATACACCTACCTCCCTTTTCAACTTTGGATTAAATCAGGCTTCAACCAGGATAATCTAAAAATATACGATCTTCCCTGTAATAAAACATGTCATCATTTGAAATACATAAATCTTTCCATGAAGATTGAAATCCTGGTTCCATATTAGTTATTATTTCTTGAATCACATTTGCGGGATATAAAATATCAGTACCAATAAATATAAGATATATTATAGCTGATGAATTAGTTTACAAAGTTTCCCACAGTAGAAGACTATTGGTATCTAAATGGGAGTTACTTTTTAAGGATGACACTCACTCCTAACTCTCTTTTTTATTTTTGTATAAAATGAAAAACATTATACTGTATTTCCCCATGTATAAGATGGTCCCATTTATAAGACACACCTTAATTTTGGGGCCCAAAATTTGAAAAACAATGTATTACAAAAAGTTATTGAACTCAAGTTTTATTTATCATAAAATTCATACAACTCCTCATCACTGTCAAAACTCCCAACCATTAGCTTGTCCTCATCTGTGTCTGAAGACGAATCACTGTTCATATATCGCCTCATCCTCAGTTCCATCTATGGCACTATATAAGACACACCCAGTTTTTAGACCCCAATTTTTTTGAAAAAGGGTGCATCTTATACATGGGGAAATACGGTAATCACTTTCTTATTTGTTTTGTATTGACAAATCGAGATAAGACAAACAGGGGCAATCAAACTTTCAATCAAGTCTCATAATGACCTTGTCTCAGGGACAAGTAAAAGGAGAAAAAAAAAAAGGGCAAACAGCTAACATTTCTTCCTGGTAGTCCACCTGGGTAGTGGACTAGATGATAAGTTTCCTATCTCAAGTAATGTCTTAAGAGGAAGAGATGTCTAGATTTTAAGAAATACAGTTAGCATTTACTGAACTATGAGCTATCCCAAGAATTAAAATTTTTAGATGGTGACAATATCTAAATTTCACTTACTCTGGGACCCATTTGTGCAGCTATTATTTAGGTAAGAGAGTTGCTTTGCCAGAAGACTTGCTCGGGGCTGCTGGATGATTATTCCAGGCCCTGGGTAGACACCAGTGGACATGCGCTCATGGTTCTTACTTTCTAGTGGAGGAGACAGATGATAAAGAAGCAGTCAAATAAATAATGCCAGATAGTCCTGTGAAAAAGGTAAACATCATGGATGGGGGGTGGGGTGGGAACAGCTTTTTTAGGTGGAACAGCTGGGGAGTAGCCATCTCATTTCTGTTGCTGAACAAGACTATAGCCTATTCAGAGCCTGTGTGCAAATTAGAGGCCACCCTTTGGGGGCGGGGACATTTAAGTGGAGGATTGATAGACAGGAAGGGACCATTTATGGGAGGATCTGGAAGAAACAATTTCTAGGCAGAAGAATAGCGAATGTTGAAGCCCTGAGTAGATGAAGCTTGGCAAGTCTGAGGAGTAGCTCTACCAGGGTGGTGGGAGAGAACAGTAGGAGGTGAGGTTGAGAAGGGGATGGCTGGCCCACCTGCATTTTAATGTCCCGGCAGGAGGCATCTTGCACTAAACCAGATCATAATCTCACCTGGTTTAGAACAAGAATATTCATAAAAGTTCAGATTCACTGGTGCCAGGCACTGTGCTACACAATGTGGGACTAGAATCGTCTCAGTTAATCCACACAAACACGTAGCAGGTGGGAATTGTTGTTACCCTCATTTTATGGACTTAGACTTTAGGCCGAGTTGCCCAAGTTCACACCATCAGACCACTGGCAGAGCTGGAATGCGAGCATAGAGAGGCTGACTTGAAGGCAGGTGCTTAATCCCTGTGCAGCCAGTGCTGACTGCAAAATGCTGCTTGATAGATCCCTTTCTTGATGCATATCCTCTCACTAAAGAAAAAAAAAATCTGTTGATAAAAGAGAGAAGGAGAAGAAATAAGAACAGTGTTAATGATTGGCATAATTAAGAAGCATTTTAAATAAAGGAGTCAGCTTACCCTGGTAGCTAATGACTGTGAAAAAGAACCTCTCATCATTGTCAAAACAGAAACTCTTATCTGTTGTGTTCAGCCTTTAAATCCAGCTGTGACTACGAAACAATTCCATATTTCTAGGCTGCCACATCTTGGAGGAGCAAGAGAGGAACCATTCACATAGCTACCACCTGAACGGTGCTCCCTAGAGTTGAGCAGTGTCCCAGCTGAGCAACACACCCAGCTGTCTCATTTCTGTTGGTGAACGAGAGTGTTCATAACCTATTCAGAGCCTGTGTGCAGATTAGAGGAAATTGCCCCTTCCTGCAGGATGATACACCAGTGCCTTCCGTCAGTGGCATCCATGTGCAAGGCACATCTGCACAATGGTACCTGGTGGCTTATTCCTGGGGACACGTTTCGCAGCCCTTGGTGCGGGTAGTTGCGCCACGAGTCTGTGCTCTCAGGAGCATTTTTGAGATTGGTTTTGTAATGGCGACAATGGGAACTCTTGTACCTGGATATGGGTCGGTCCATTGTCACCCCACACTGTTGTCTCTGGCGTGCAGCTCTGGCAGGCACCAGCTCTGATGCCATGCAGGTATCCTGGACTTGCAGACAGGCAAGTTCACAAGTGTGGAATGTTGGACGTTCTTTTCAGCTTGGCCTGCCAGCTGTGGTTTTCAAAGCCTGGGCCTCCTTCCCAGTCAGCAATATAGCAAACCAGCACCGGGGGCCTGTGCCACGTCGTCCGCACTCCAGCTTGCTTCAAAGTCAAGCTGAGAAAAGGAACAGCAGCTAAAGAAGGAATGTTAACCGATATGCGATCCATCTACTCTCTTTTATCCTGTACTGAGTTTTATTAATAGGCAGCTACATGTCTGGACTCATAACTCAGCCACGGCCATTAGAATCACTGAGCTACCATTTGATATCATGGTCTTGGCATTTATATTAAGCAATGTTATAATCATTCTTATAAAATGTATAATTTTTGCATTTGCTGAAAATTATTGAGAATTTTATCCATTTGTTTAGTTGCCTTATGTGAGGTCCCAAATAAGAAACTTCCTTTGGATTTTGATTTTTGGGGAGGAGGTCTCTTTATTTCTTGAATTTATTCATTTGCGAAGAAAAAATCAGAAGCTCAGACCTACATTAGTGTGCCATCACCATAATTATATTAGCATGGTGGTCAGGGATTTGCTTTCTGTGACCTTGATTTTTTCCTTTTTTTAACCATATCACATGTATGTCTTCTACTGGAAGTTACCCTAAGTCCATCCCATTCCCTTTTATTGGAAAGGAGATAGCCTATATTTAAAATAAAATAAATAAAAAAATGAAATGAAACTGTGTGGAAATCAATGTAGATTTGCCTATATTAAATCCCAAATTATGAAGCCCCTAAAACATCATGTGATTAGCAATTTCAGTAAATATTTATTATAGATTTCTTTTCAACGCTGAGTTTCCATGTTACATTTGCAATATTATTAATACTTCATTTATGTTCAGGTGGCCTGGCCTTACTATTCCATAATGTGCTTTACTTTGCCTAATATGTGATATAATATGCCCATTGTTACTTTACTCAGATACTGACTGAGTCATTTGATCACTACACAATTGCAGCTAAATATGAATATATGCATGGTGTTATATGCAGCAAGACAAAGTTGCCATTTGTTATCGCTTTATATCGATCCTGTCTTCTCTCTCTTGCTCTTCCCACTGTCAGTGTCATGCTTATCATCTACACCCTTACTACTCAAAGTGTGGTCCTAGCATGGGCAGCGCCTCTGAGCTTGTTAGAAATGCAGACTCCCAGGCCCTGGCCCAGACCTACTGAATCCGAATCTGCGTTTTGACAGGATCCTCAGGTGATGCACATTCACAGGAGAGGCTGAGGGAAGCTGTTCTGCATCACTGCCGTAGCTTGCTCACCTGCCACACTACACCCCTCTTTCTCCTTTGTACCTTTCTTTCTGAAACATCGTTCCGGTGATATTATTGTCCTATTGCCTTGGCAGGACATAAGGGTTCCCTTATTTAATAGGCACCTTGGTGTTTTTTGTTAAGAACACAGATTGGCAAGCCTTTTTAATGGATCGTTGGTGGGGCCTGGGAACCTATACGTTATTGTTAACAAGCATCTAAAGAGATCCTGGTCATCGGGTAAGCTTAGGAAACATTGGTTCCATGATATAAAACCAGCCTCCGCGGCTTGGCCTCCAGACCCTCCTCAACGCGGCCTTTGCCCATGTTCCCTTCCTACTCTCCCTGAGACCCTGGCCTCACCAAACTTTCTCCCAACACAAGCAGCATCTCCACACCTTAGAGCCTCTGCTAACTCCTTCCTGCATGTGGGATGTCACCTTGGCCACCTGACTTTGGACCCTCCACGATGGGGCCCTCCTGGCCTTGCTCAGAGGCCGTCTCCTCAGGGGGATGCCACTAGCTCATTCTCTTAGAACTGAGGGCTTCTTCTGCCTTGCAACCATTGATGTTTGCTTTTCTCACTTAGTACCTCTCCCATTCAGCATACAATTATCATGGCTTGTGCCGCACTGGCCTAGTAAGATCCTTTGAGAACATGTGTGATTTATCTTTGAGCTGTTTCTACCTCTTCCCTAACTCCTAGCTTATCACTGTACTTTTCCATTATGAATCTCTTAAATACATATTGAACTGAATGGAAATATACTTTGGAGATATTGTGTCCCATTAAGCATCATTTATTAATGCTCCCTCAAACTACAAATAACTTGAAATGAACAGCAGATTCTATGGAGTATTGGATGCTTCCTAGATTTTTTTTTAAAGGGGGGATTTTACTTATTAAGAAGCTTTTTGCCTCTTCTATGATAGTTTAATTTAGCAAACACTAACCCATTCCGTTCTTCCAACAGTGGGGGCTCCTGCTATATATCCCGTGAGTGCCACCTGCCAGTAATCAAGGGCATTCTTCCAGGCTTTGCCATTAGTGTTTAAAAAGCATGAATTGTTAGGAATTGCTTGGTGACAGTACTTCTTAGAAAAACAGCATAGAAAGGTTTTGGATTGATTTTCATTTCACAGTGATTAAAAATAAATAAATAAATCCCCTATGCAAAAGATAAACTTATGTCTACCATCTGCTAGTGTATTTTCTTCAGATTTGTCATATAATTTGTTCTTTTTTGTTTCAGTAATTCAGTGCAACTTGAAAAATACTTATTATCTTCTCACAGGTGGTTGATAGTGAAAGATTCTTTTTTACTGTATATGAAACCAGACAGTGGTGCAATCGCCTTCGTCTTGCTGGTGGATAAAGAATTCAGAATTAAGGTGGGGAGAAAAGAGACGGAGACGAAATACGGACTCCGAATTGATAACCTTTCAAGGTAGGAATTTCCAATATTTTAAAAAGTAAATATTGTGGGTAAAAATAATATTTTTACTAAAATCTCTTGAAAACAAAGTTTTTCTCCCAACCTGAAATGAAGGAGGAAGGAAAATAATTTAAATGTTTGAAAATTTTTTATTTAGCACTTATCCTCAATCAAAAGTAATGAAACTACTTTTTCCTTGTAATAGAATTTTAAGGATAGACTATCCTTTGTGCAATAGTCAGAATAAACTCTTCTGTGTATTGATATATGCCCATTTTAACAAAATTGACTACTTAATGATATCATTTGGCCAAACAGACAAATTAAGGAGGGATAGCTCACATTTTTAAAAAATAAAATTTTACTTTATGAATTGATATCTTTTAATGAACAAAACACTTAAAAAGTGATTTGATTTAGAAAAATTCTGTTTACAGACAGATTTTAAGAAAGATACCTTGAAAGGATACACAAGGGTACATTTACTATAGATTTTATTAGTAGTATGTCTGTGTGTTGATATATATGTTTTTTTCTTTGTTATATAGTTATATATGTGTGCCTTTCTATATACATTTGTCTCTGTAAAGTTCAGCCTCATGTATGTGAACATATATATGTGTGTGTATATATATACACATTTCTCTGTTTACTCACATTGAGATACACACACACACACTCTTAACTAACTACGTTTGCATGGATGTGAGTGGGTGTATAAAAGATTTGGCACTTCCTCATCTCCTTTGATAATGGAACCTTCAGGATTGGTTTTCAGAAATGCAAAGGTGCTGCCATTAAACCTTCCTCCTGGTGCTGCATTTTTGCTTTGTGGAGGGCCATAGAAATCAGGCCACAATTCTCACTGGTCCCTAACAGACCCTGGACCAGTCTTTGGGATCAGGAGGCTGGAATAGACCAGTTTGCTTGGCTTTGGTGGACTCAGAATAGGGAAGGGATTACTCTGCTAAAGCACAATCAGTATAATGTTTCCAGAAGCCAAGGGAATGGACACCATGGAGTAACTAGGGAAATTACAGGAGCCAACAGCTCTCTAACCCCGAGACATAGGACCTCACCTTATACCTCTTTCATTACCCTCCTCACAGCCTAGCACAGCTGCAGTACCTATACAAAAGGTACTTCCTTTTGTGTGTACCTTTACACATGTTTGTATTAGTAAATAAGTAACCTGAAAATTTATTTTTGCTACATTCACTACATTTCAAAATCCTGCCAAACATTTTTAGAAGTCTGCTTTTATGATATAAGTAAGATGCACTTTGCTTAAAAATTTTCAACTATGTTTGCCATACCAAAACAGAACAGGACATGTTTAATTCTTAAATTTGTTTAAAGAGACAGAACACAGATTGACCATTCTCTTCCACATTTTGCTTTTCTTTGAAGGACGCTTATTTTAAAATGCAACAGCTATAGACATGCTCGGTGGTGGGCAGGGGCTATAGAAGAATTCATCCAGAAACATGGCACCAACTTTCTCAAGGATCATCGATTTGGGTCATATGCTGCTATCCAAGAGAACACTTTAGCTAAATGGTAAGATCTTTTTGCTCTAAGACTGTCAAGGTAGTCATAGCATCTAATATTACAGTGATCTAAATTCACCTAGAATCCATTTTCAAAGCTGTGAAAAGATAAAATGCAGTATACTTAACAAGGGCCTTTCTTTATAGGACTATCTGAGCACTGATTAGTGTCCCAATTTTTGTTTTTAAGATGCTTTACAGTGAGCTTTAGATAGCGAGCTTTAGATTTTGAAGTTTGATTTTAAAAGCCAACTTTATGCATTTTCTTAAAGATGCAAATGGAAGGTTTATTTAAGTCATTTGCCATAACTGAAGAAAAATAATTTATTTGATAAATGTTTTTGTTTGTTGGTTGGTTTTTAAATAAAATCATGCTTAGCAACTCGTGAGTTGGAAACTGGTCTGTTTTCAGTCTCAGAAGAACAACTATGTGTGAGTTCAATGGGCTGGGAGAATTCAGCCAACCCCCATATGGTAATGAGACCAATGGATGTGTTGTTCTCTCAGCAGGAAAGAATTGGGTTGCATACTTCTAGCTACTTACTGTACTTCCTACATAGCAGATGGAAGGTGCTATTTTCAGTCCTTGTTTTCCAGTTACACAAAGTAAACTGGTGGTTGTGTAGAGACTCTGGGCAGTAGCTTCCATCTTTGGCTTTGATAAAAGATATGTGTCATCGTCTTTTTTTTTTCTTTCAACAACAATAAAACCCTTGTTTTTCAGGTATGTTAACTCCAAAGGATATTTTGAAGATGTTGCAAATGCAATGGAAGAGGCAGAAGAAGAGATTTTCATCACAGATTGGTGGTTAGTATCTGTGCATGGGGATTGTGTTTGGAGGTCTCCATGTTTAGAAATGCACAGCAGTGTTACGCTGCCAGAATCATACATTATGAAAACCAGCAGTACCTGCAGATGGTTTGACCAAAGTCTCAACCAATTAATTCTAATAGCCTCCAGTGAAAGGTCTTTTCAAAACACTTGGCATCCAAATATAGTCTTACAATATTTAGCTTGAACAATTTTGTATTTGCCTTTCTATTTAGAAGCAGACACCCAATATTCATTTTAATAAAGATTATGTTGCAATGCAAATACAGTTGTAGAGCTAATGGAAAATAATCTTCCGTGAGTAGTCTTTCCTCATTTTGTCCTATCTGTCACCAGGGCCAGTGAATATACTTCTTTGGAATTGTCCCTTTGAAATTGGAATAGTTCCATTTGCCCATGGCTGTTAAAATGTCCTTGGTAATGACTAGGTCTGGTCAGCTTTTTTGGAGATACATTGGGTTTCAATTCTCTGGCCCCCTTTAAAAACATCCATGAGCATTATGATGCTTATTAAAGTGACTAGAAGTCTCATATCTAAAACTCATTTAGCTCTTGGGAAACTTTATTCCTGGAGTTGGTGTAGGCTTTGTAGTCTGACTTTAGTTCCAATTACCCATCTGCCTGTACAGTTAAAAACCATTGCAGATGCTAACACTGACTACAATGGAAATGTTTAAAATGTGTTTTCCTTCTAAGAACTTAGTTGCTTGAAATGCCCCTATTTTTCCCTATCCTGTTTCCTTCCAAATGTTACCTTATATATGAACTGTGAAAATATCGTAATTTCCTCCTAATTCTAGTTTTTGAGAGGAAAGGAGAGTAGTTAGGAATGTGAATTCATCTTCTTCTACTGTTTTGCCTCAGTGATATGAAACTATAATTTTAGGGCACACTTTGCCAACTTGGGCACTACTGACATTTTAGGCCAGATAATTCTTTGTTGTGGGGTGTTGATCGGTGGATCATAGGATGTTTAGCACCATCAATATTCCTGGCTTCTAGGTGACAATAGTAAAACTCCAGTGGTGATAACCAAAATGTCTTTACACATTGCCAGATGTCCCCTGGGGGACAAAGTCTCTCTTGGTTGAGAATCATTAATCTAGAGTCAATAAATGAGGTATATGATGGTCAGTACTTCTACAAATCTATTTATTCTCATGTTTATGGAGGAGCGCTTAATCCTAGCCTTTCTGTTCTTGCTAAATTTTGTCTCTTTAGTCAGTTACCAGGAATAAAACAAAGTTTCCTATAGGACCTATCTCTTTAGTTGAATACTTTCTAAATGCTTATGAGAATAAATTCAAGTTTGATGGGTTTTACTATATTCTTTTAAAAAATATTTCTGAAAGTTTGACGAAGACATGAGACTGAAAATAGTTTTTGTATTGAGCCCATGTTTTCATGTTTTATGCAAGAAAATAATATCCCCTTTCAAGGTTCTGAACACTAAAATACGGGCTCATATTTAAACATCTAAAGAGATGGAGCCCTGAATGTCTTCTCTTTTACTGTCAGAAAAAAAATAAATCAGGAGGTTATTTCTTTTTCATAATTGCACTAAGATAACATCTTATTACAATACTCCCTTTGAAATAAAACCTTTGCAGCAACTTCCTTCATAACAAGTGAAGAAAATTCGTGTTATGCAAGTATATTGCAAAAGGGAGCATTCAAAAATACTCCCTTAGTGTTACAAACCCTGATAAGTATGGATCTGAGAGAGTGATAAGAGTGATAGTTAGAGAATACACATGCCCTTTGGAAACTTCTAATCTAATTTAAGAGACATCATGTACTTAAGTGAAAATGGTATTAATATGTTCTGAAACAATTATTATGCAAGCAAAGGCAGATATAGTGAACTGTGAAACAACCTGGGACCTAGGAGTGCTTAGTTCCTTGATTTTACCACCTACCCGGTCATTTGTTACTTTATTCACTTATTCATTCCAGAGCTATTTGGTGAGCACACATTCTGTGACAGGTCCTTAACCGGGCCATGTGCATATGAAGATGAGTGAGAAGAGCCCGTACCGTATAACTTAGAGTCAGGAAGTCATATGTGAAACAGCAATTGGGGAAAACTCAGCGATGTGGATCGATGTAGCAGAAGGCATGGAGAGAGTACAGAGGAATGGGTAGTGACTGAGCCTGCAGGAGGGACTGCAGAAGCTTCAAGGAAGAAACTGGCTTGGGTCCCAGAGATCGAGTTGGCCAGTTGAAGACACGTGAATGTTTTATGCAGAGGGATAGCCAGGACCAAGGCATAGAAGTGTGAGCACAGCCGCTTTGGAGGAGGGCAGAGGTTCTGTATAGCCTAAGCATAGCATTCTTTGGGATGGTGGTTGGAGATGACACTCAAAGGATGGGTTAGGCCCAAATTGTGAAGGGCACTGGGTGAGCTGCAGAGGAGTTGGCACTTGATCCCGTAAACCCTGGGAACCACTAAAAATATTTGAGCTTGGGAGCTTTAATCAAATTTGTTTTCTAAAAGGGACCACTCTGGTGATGGTATAGAAGATGAATTGAACAGTGGCTCTAGAGACCATTTAGCAAGCTGTTGTGGTACAGGAAAGAAATGGTCAGAGTCTCTGCACACACCACCTTAGGGGCCTGACTATTACTAAGTTGGAGCCAGTCATGGTAACCTTTCTAAGGGGTAGTTTCTAAGGCATGGTCGAAGGAACATTAACAATAATAGCTACTACTTGTTGAAGTCTAACTAGATGCCGGGACTGTGTTATAGATGAGAAAAGTGAGAGTCAACGGGGCAGGTCAGGAAGCTGCCCACAGTCACGTGGTCAGGATAGGCCAGAGCTGGCTTGGATCCAGGCACGTCTGCTCCAGACTGCGCAAGTCACGGAGTTGTCACTGGGAGGAGCCAGCAGCTCTGCCTGGTGTCCAAGGTTTCTGTTAGCTCTGAGATTCTTTAACTAAAGACTGAAAAAAAATTTTTTTTAGGCAGTAGATAAAGTAGTAATCAGATTTGGGTAGATTTAGTCAGGAGAAATGTTTTAAAGAGGTACATCCTAAGGTAGACTGTCAAGTTATAAGAGAAAATGCTTTTTTCAACAGCCTGGACTATTTGAAAATTCTGGTGAAGAGTAAAATTCTACCTAAGTGTTTAAAGTATCGAAAGAGATCGTTTCTATATAAATATGAGTGCACATTCTTCACTTGTTTATCTGGATCAAGCAGAAGAACACACGCTTTATGTCTTTTCTGTGCTTGCTACTGTTTCAAATCACTAGAGCACTAACTATCCTGTGTTGGTTGGAGTAAGTTCTAAAATGAGGTCGGAGACCAAGATGTGGCTTCCAGCCCCATAACTGCTGGAACTTAGGACTGACCCCAAAAGCATGGCTCAGCTCAGCTTTCCTCTGGATGATGGTCATTCTGATTAGCACTGCCCAGCAGGGATGGCGCGAGTGTGTTCAGTCTTTGCCCAGATTGGTTCTCTAGAGTCCAGCTTGTCCTGGGTGGGGGTCCCCGTGAGGTCTCCCACAACTTCTGTATTGAGTCTGTGCATGAAATGGGTCAGAGATAGACAGGATTCATAAAATTGGAGCATGAAGAAGAAAAACAATAAATGTTTTTAAAGGGGAGGGGGGCTTATAAAAGGAAAAGAAACAAGACAGGTAAGCAACTGGGCTGGAGACAAAAGCTATCAAGTGAAAAACAAAATCAACATTTCATTCTTGACTGGCTCACAAGCTAAGACTGTTCGAAGTCGGAGAATACATTTAAGTTGATTTTAATGTGTTTTTCAAATGGTGGGTTGCAATTAGTAATTATTTATGAAAACAATTTAGTGGGTGATGATCAGAATATTTTTTTTTAAAGAATAGGATAAGATAGGAAAAGACAAGAAACAGAAGAATAAAGAAAGGTTCAGCTTAAGTGGTAGCAGGACTATTATTTTGAGAGATTTTTATGTCAATAGTAAATGATAGATAGATGAAGTTATTAGGATGGGTAATAATGTATGTTTGTGGATCATGATTTGAAAAGTTTGAAAGCCATTGACTTTCAACAGGGTTGGCAAACTTTTTCTGTAAAGGGCCACATAGTAAATATTTTAGACTTTTCAAGTCACATACAATCTCTGATGCATATTCTTGTGTGTTTGTGCATGTTCAATAATAACTCTTTGAAAATGTAACAACCATTCTTAGCTCATGGGCCATACTAAAACACACTATGGGCCAGATTTGGCTCATGGACCATAGTTTGCCAACCCTTGTCTTAGAAAGTAGATTTAAGCTACTATATTATATTGACACTAAGAGCTATGTGTACAGTTAACTTTTTAAGAAACTGTCAATCTGCTTTTCAAAGTGGTTGTACCATTTAACTTTCCCACCAGCAATGTATGAAAGTTCCAGTTCCTCCTCCTCATGGCTAGCACTTGGTATTGTCATCTTTTTTTAATGTTAGCCATTCCAAAGGGTATGTAGTAGTGTCTCGTGTAGTTTTAATTTGCATTAGCAACCTATTTTCAAGTTAAGTATATTTTCTTGTGATTTTTGAACATTTATTTGGCTTTTTAAGAAACATGTTCAAATACTTTTTTCCCTTTTTTATTGGACTGTCTCCATTATTATTGAGTTGTAAGAGATTGTTATACATTCTAGTTACAAGTTGTTCCCTTCATTCTGTCCTCCATAATTTTTTATGAGAAATTTACAGTCCTTTGAATCATTGTTCCCCTCTAAAGAAAGCATTGTTTTTCTTCTGGATGTTTTCAACATTTTCTCTCTGTTTTTAGTTTTCAACAGTTGAATTATGATGTTTGAGTTTTCCCCGTTTGGGGTTCACTAAGCTTCTTGGGTCTGTAGGTTTATGTCATTAACCAAACTTGAGAAGTTGTCAGCCATTATTTCTTAAACCTTTTTCTGCACTTCCCTCTTTCTCCTCTCCTTCTCAAGATCTGTTCATTTCTTTCTTGCAATCTTTTCTTCTCTTTGTTATTCAGATTAGATAATTTCAATTTATCTATCTTTAAGCTCTCTGAATCTTTCCTTTGTCACTTCTGTTCTGGTATTGAGCCTATCTAGGGAGAGTTTGTGTGTTTTTGGTAGTTGTATTTTTCAGTTTGAAAATTTCTCTTTGGCTCTTCTTTATGTCTTTTCTTTGCTGAGATTTTCTGTCTTTCCTTTCATTTTAAGGGTTTTCAATCTTTGTTGAAACATTTTTATAACATTGAACAAAGAATTAAAGTAATTAATTCCAATTAGTTACTTTAATTGGCATTAGTAACTAATTGGCATTAATAACTAATTAGTAACTAATTGGCATTAGTAACTAATGCCAATTATCTCATTGGCATCTGTTGATTGTCTTCCTGAAACTTGAGGTTTTTCTGATTCTTTGTAGACCAAGTAATTTTTTATTCCATTCTGGAAGTTTTGAATATTACTGTGACTCTGGATCTTATTTAAATCTTATAGAGAATGTTGATATTTTTGTTTTAGCAGGCAACTGGCCCAGTTGGGGTCCAGCACAATGTTCCAACTAGTCTTGGTGTTTTTAATGCCAAGTTTTGTTTTCAAAGCCTTTGCAGTGCTGTTCAGATCTGTCCCCCATGTGCTCCACCTAGTGGCCAATTTGGGAAATGCTCTATTTCTTAGTCGTCAAACTCTGGTATAACAAACAGTTTTGGATCAAATCCATGCGTGGGCAGTTGGGAATGAGCTAGAAGTCATAAACAACTTTATAGGGTTGCTTTCCTGAGTTTCTTCCTCTCCACGATCTCCCCCCTAGGTTTGGTTCCCTGCGGCTTCCCTTTTCAGTCCTCTAGCTAGAAAAGGTGGAGCTTTATTTACCCTGCTCTGCCAACACACCTTCTGCAGTGACACCTGTCCACAGCCAAGCAGTGGATATTTACAGTGTCCTCTTGGAACCTCTTTTCCAATTGGGGAGGAAAGTCCCACTCCCTCAGAGTTTTTGGAGCCTGAGGACCCCTCTCTACTACCCCTCACACTGCCCGAATAGCCCCCTCATTCTCCTCAAGCCTAAACTGGAGGACTTCTCCTGAAATTGTCTCTATCCGGGCCACTGCCCTTTTTAGGCTCTCCCTCCAGGCTGAGGCATCAGAGTAGGAGAAACAACAACAACAACAACAACAACAAGTAAACACACACACACACACACACACACACACACACACACAGTAAAATCACTACAGGTTAGATGGTGTCAGATTTTGTTCTTCTTCAATATTGAGCCTCCCAGCTCATGAATACTGTATATTGCTCCATTTATTTAGGTTTTATTTAATTTTCCTCAGCAATGTTTTATATTTTCTTTATTCAGATCTTGCACACATTTTGTTAAGGTTATCACTAAGTAATTCATGTTTTTGGATGCTATTGTAAATGGTACTTTTAAAAATTCATGTTTCAGTTGTTTACTGATGGAATATAGAAATACAATTGATTTTTAAAAAAATATTGCTTTTGTATACTACAGCCTTGCTTAATTCACTTATTAGTGCTGGTAGCTTTTTTTGTAGATACTTTATGATTTTCTCCATAGATGATCATAGATGTGTGAATAATAACAGTTTTACTTTTTCCTTTCTAATCTGTAGGCCTTTTATTTTACTTTATTTATTTTATTTTATTTTATTTGCCTTATTGCATTGGCTAAGTCAGGGGTTGGCAAACTTTTGAGATGAAAGAGCCAATCCTGTCCCTTACAACAATTTAAAAATTATTCGAGAGCCATAAAACAAATGAAATCTCCATTATGTGAATAATATCCTTTAAAAAATTTATAAATGAAACTATGATAGTTTTATTTTCATTTTCAATTTTACTTCAGAGTCACATGTGGCTCGCGAGCTGCAGTTTGCTGACCCCTGGGCTAGGTTCATCAGTAAAATGTTGATTAGAAGTGATGAGAATGGACATATTTTTCCTTGTTCTCAGTTATAGGAGAAAAACATTTAGTCTTTCATTATTACTTATCTTCAGTAACATCTTACAGTTATAACTGTCATCACTTTTTTGTTTCTTATTGGTGCACATAGTAATGATGCATCTTGCAATCATTGCTGCCCTAGGTTCAATGAAATGCAGTATTATACAATTTTTTGAGCTTTGTTTACCTAACAATTATTTAGTAAAGATCCTGACACCCTGATGCTTGTGCGTTATAGCTGCTCTCTCCTTGCCACTGTTTATACTTTGTTTATAGCATCATTGTCAGTCTTTTACCTTTTTTATAATCCTGACAATTGAGAGCTCCTTGAAAACTATCTTAAGATCCTCCATAATATCTAGTAGGATGTTCTGCATAGAGGGTACACAATGCTTGTATATTAAAAAGAGGATAAGAAAGACTTAATTGCTGAGCATAGCATTAGAGGTGGCCTCCAAGCCGAAGTCCTCTGAGTCCATCCATAATTAATGCGTACATCAAAAAATTGCAAGTATGTGCATGCTGTTGGGCACGTCTTATCTTCTGTGAGCTACCACGTACAGATTTAACCTAGACACTGACTTTAGAACTCAACCCCAAGGGGAAAAGTGACTCTCCTGTACACTTAGCTGCCTGTGACATTACTAAAGAGAAGAGCCCAGGGGTCCATTCTCACATTGGAAACATTTTTTCTGTCAGCAAACCTGCCTCCTTGCTCAGAAGGACCCAGGTTCCATGGCCACTGCTCCTTTGTACAGGAAGTCAGTGTTTATGTTTATCAATGAGGACACTTTGGGGTTGGATTAACAGAATGCTCATCTGAAGGTGGCTTAAACAGTGAGGATTTATTTGTGTCACTTAACAAGATATCCAAAAGCTGGTAGAGCGGTCTTGTGATTTCAGGGTTCTGGTCCTCCTCTTAGAATTTAAATATGGCTGCACCTCTCTAAGCATCTTAGCACCATACAATATATATCCTAAAGCTGCTTTGCCTGCGTTGAGTGAATGTGTGTCTCCTTCTCATCAAAGAAGAAAAATTTTCCCATTAACCCCATGTGTACCTCACTGTCCAGGACAGTGTAACATTGCGCTCTAGCTGCACAGGTATCTGGGGAAGCAAGTATGTAGAATATTCACACTCTGTAGTGGAAGGTAGACTCTGACAGCGAGGAAGGAGAAGGTGGAGAATGGCTGCCGGCTGGACAACCAGTAGTATCTGAATGCGTGTGTGTATGTGTGCATATGCGAGTAAGATCTATACATGTAGGGAGAAACCTAGAGTGACTTTTGGTATATGGATAAAGGCGCTTGTTCCATCTAAATTTGTATGTGGACTCACAGCAGAACTGTGGATGACCCGCCACAGTGGAGGGTGATGACGGCATTTGGGCTAAAATTGCCTTTGTTTTCTATGATACAATCAGAACCTCAGATTTTTAGTTACTTGAAATTTTGTGATTTCAGGTTGAGTCCAGAAATCTTCCTGAAACGCCCAGTGGTTGAAGGAAATCGTTGGAGGTTGGACTGCATTCTTAAACGAAAAGCAGTATGTACTTTCCAAACAAATACCGATATGACTTCTTAAATGTTTATTGCCTCTGAAACACCTTTTCTTTTTTAAAGTCCTTCATATATATGTCTAACGTTTTTTTTTTTAGCAGTTTGACAAAACATAGAATACGTAACCATTTTCATTTGATTCTGATTTTTTTCCTGTTACTCTTGAGTCCATAGCATTTTAGCCTAATTCACAGCATGGATAATATTAACAATTCTAATTTTTATTTTTTAATCAGTTATAGGCAGTTAATTTTATAGGCAAAAGCTTGTAATCTGATTTCATCACTGAATAATAAGTGATGAAATGAAACATAGCATTTCATTTTATTGACTATTCTGTTATTTGAGCAAAAGACCAAGTTGTCGGAGATTCTAGTCAGATGGGGCCAAGCTGATGTTAAAAAATATGAAAGAGGGGGGACATTAAAAATCGGCACTGTTTTGGTTTCAGTTTTGGGACAGTTCTTGGTAATAATATGAAATTGTTTCTGCAGTCGACCTTGTAGATTCTGGGTGACCATTGACTTTCTTGTTATAAAAAGTAAATAAGTGAAGCAATCAATATAGGTTCACCAATGACTACTTTACATTCATATGGCTAATGAATTTTTGTATGTGGTTGGCCCCTCAACCAAGTTCAATTCAATTCAGTTAGAATAAATCTGGATTTATTATTAGTCATGTCCAAATTGGGGAATCCTAGCCTTTTCACTATTATTTGAAACTGTCTTAATCCTTTTCTTATTCTATCATTAAGCATTTTAGCAGAATTTGTAGATCTTAAGTAATTAGGGTTAGCATTTTTCTGTTTCTCATAGCCTTCACTCATTTCTTTCTTCCCATCCTTGACATTCCCCTACCCTGTTTGTTCCCATTCACTTTTTCCTCTCCTTTCAGTGTCTTTTCCCATGACTTTACTTTATGGTTTCTGCAAACATCCGTAATATAGTCAGAACTTGCTGCTAATATTGAAAGAAGAAGCTGATCATCTTTATTTCAGACATGTTTTACCAAACAGCATCATTTTCATGGCTAGTCTAATTTGTTGTCTCAACCAAATTCTACTCACAAAATTGGAAATTCTGGTCTCGAAAAGCATTATTTGCATATTTATTAAATAATTCAGCATACAATTACTGGGTGTCTCCTGTGAGCTAGGTACTAATTACTAAAGGTGCCATCTATGTGAATAGGATTCCATCTCTGTCCGTGGATAGCTTGCTAAAGGACTCGTGTCCTGGGCTCAGTCCTAGACTTACCAAACTTCTTTCTCTGTATTGAATGGGCTATAACTTCCTTCATGTTTCTCTCTGTGGAATGGCACCTTTCCCATTTCTCCTCAGGAGTGCATTTTAATGTTTTTTCAGCCTTGCCTCACAATTGTCAATCATGCTAGTTAATCCTGTCCTCATAGTACTTATCCAATTGCTGTTTTAGATTTCAGTCAATGTGTTTGTTGCATGCCTACTGTGTGCAGGGCTTAGCTAATCATATGGGGATGCACATAAATAAAAAACGTAATTCTTGACCTGAAAGAGCTTAAAAATCTGCACAAGGGTCAGTTGGGTACAAAGACAGCGCCAAGATTCAAAGGCAGATGGGAGAGCATTGGCTAGGTCTGGTGGGGAAACCCCTCACAACAAGAGGGATTTAGGATGGGCAAAAAAATTAAAAAGAAGAAGTTTCTAGGCGTAGGAAATGTGGTGAGGAAATATTCTGGAAGCAGCAATTCAGAAGGCTTTGCCAGTTATAGTATGGTGACAAAGTTGATTACCCCTGAGTGGGTAGGATGGGTGATCAAGCAGGGAAGGCAGGCTGCTGCTAAGATAAGGAGGTTTTGTGAGCCAAGCCAGTGATTTGGACTTCATGGAATATAGTGGGGAGTTACTGTGGGGGCGTGTGATGGATGAAGGGTGATCTGATCAAAATGAATATGAGAGTGGGAGGAACGGGGAAAGACTCAGATTCAGAGAGCAAAATTTCTGATCACTTGAGACTGAGATGCCTACAGGACATCTAAGTAAACTCTTAGAGCAGGACTCAGGGGAAGATCCTACAGGCCTGATCCTCTACCTCATGTGAGACGACATGTGTTTGTTGACTCCCCTCAGCGTTACCTGTCCAGGTGCCTTTTCTGTCACTAGCATGGCTTCCTTTGTTTTGCCTTTATGGTCTATGAGCCCTGGTGAGGTCCCAGGTGAATGCCATGGTCAAGTAAATATTATTGCCTGATAATGGTGCTTGGTTTTAATTTCATCCACTTCCTGAAACGTGTAATTTTTAAATTGCACATAATGATTTTAAAAATTTCCCAAGGAAATAGTAATACTACGAAATATTAATTTCTCAGTGGTACATTTAGCAACATTGTTCTCCTTTAATCTAGCTCCGACATATTATTTTGTCATAAATTTTTAACATTTGGATCATTCCAAACTGACATTTCATATGCTCATAAATACTACTTCACATAAATAATTTAGTTTCTGAAAGCCACTAGCTTCACAAAGTAGTGGGTAGAGAATGACATTTATTCTTGCATTACTGGGTCCCAGATGTTCACAGTGTTGATTAAAATAATTTTTTTTCTTCTATCTGATTGTACAGACTTTTTTGGAAGAAATTTAGTGTCTCTGCCTCATAGCCAACATATAGGCAAACATCTCTTATAATGGCTATTTTATTAGGGAAAAAATAGAATATTTTGTTTCTCTGGTTATAACCAAGTTGATATTTCCCTGTTTCATTGGCCTTCAGACATGCAATGTCATCATTTAAAATAGCCTAAGCCAGCCTTGGGTGGCAGAGTGTTTACAACTCAAATCAGCATCCCAGGGTTTTCTACAGTCTGGCATTTAATGTACTAAGAGGTGCGATAAGTTGCATCATAGTTCTGGTGACCATATCCTTGTATCCAATTTGTGTATTTCAACCTTAGAAATATGTGATACTTCTAATGAGACTTGCACCAAAAGAAATTTCAAGTGCAGCAATTTGCAAACTTACAGAAAAAAGTTTAGGTCCGCAGGGGGGGATTTTTGTTATTTAATTTCTTACTGTCCTGGACCACAAGGCTCATTGTAGAGCTGCAACCAGTGAGCAATAGGAGGGAAAGATGTCCCAGCTTGTCAAGTGAGACGAATAATCACATTTCCACACAGAACAATCAAAGGGGAGCTTATCAAAGTGGGGTCCTATAAGGGCATGGCAGGGAAGGGGTCAAGGGACATTCAACCTTAAGGACTGTGTTTTAAATAAAACTGGTAAAAAAAAAAAAAAGAAAAGAAAAGAAAAAGAAAAAAGGCATACAAGCATTTGTACTCTTACATCCCAATGCTGCCTGCATTGAAATGGTGAGGATACAATTTCTTTGTCTCTTTTACTTTCATTTTCCTAAAATATTGCATCCCCTGCAGAAGTCCTTGACAAGTGATAAAATTAACAATTATCCTGTAGCTGTACAAACTAAGCTATCTTCGAGCAGTGGACAAAGTTGGCTGCATCTGGAAAATATTTTGGCCACGGTAACTGGGAACAATCAGAGAAAAACCTGGCTCAGAAACAAAGTCTCTTGAGTTCAACTATGAAAATCTTTTTATTTTGCTTGTATTCACATGTATTATGTCTGTGTGAAACCCCTATAATGTTTGTTCTACTTAATTAAAAACTGATTAGAAAAGAGGACAGAACTTTCATCTTTGGAAATTTAGTCAGGCTCCATGAAGTTTATTCTGTGGAACATTTTGGGTAGTTGACTTCAACAGAGGTAAGAAACTTGACGTTGCTTAGTCAACTCCAGGCCATCTGTTCTACTTCCCCTCTCTAAGCAAAAGTGATTTCCCCGAGGGTCACTAAAAGGCATTGGTAAAACAGTAGATGTTTCAAAAGTGTATTTTTTAAATTACAGAATTAACATCAGCTCTTTGCTTTCTCACTTGTCTTTCATTTTGCACAAACATTTCCACCATTTCGTAGAAGTCTTCACTGCTATGACCCAACAAATGCCTTCGTTCCCAAGAAACATTTTCTCCTTTGCCCTTTATAAAAGTATAGAGTTTATGGTATAGTGTTGTAATACCTTGATCAAAAGAAGAGGAATTTATCGCTTTATTATCCCAGAACTGTCACTAATTAACTATTTATTGTGGACATGGGTGGTTAAGTAAATAATTGTAAACCTGACTGCATAAAAGTGAACTTTTTATTTTTAATTACTTCCTTATTATCCATTTATTTGTATTGAAGCTAAAAAGAATTATAAGTCTCCACCCTATTTCCTTTAGAGTTAATTTATTTCAGTGAGAAAATATACGGTATAGGAGACTATGTCAGGTACTAATAGATGGAAGGTAATAATGCAATCCGTTAGCATTAATATCTCATTTCAAAAAATCCATTAGTGATGCAGGTAAATGGAAAATTGTAAGATTTAGGCCAGCTCCTAATTTGCAACTACTGTCCTTTATGAGTAATAATCTCATAAGCCTCAGAAGTAGAATTTCATCCATTTAAAACAAATGAGCCATGATAAAAGATGTCAGGTGGAATGTTCTATAATTCAGGCTGAAATTTTGGACTTTAAACTTTATATCTTTCAATGGGAGGCTGCTTTTTGGAACTGTTATTCAGTGCTGAATTCAAAGATATTCCATTAGCAGAGTGAATATGAACAACAGAGGGAGAAAAATAAAATAATGTTCTAGTTTTCATTTAGGACCCTTGATCAGTGGTTCATTGTAGAGTGCTCACAGGCCATTAGACATTAATCTGTTCTCTTCTTGCCTATACTTTTACTACCTTATTGTTTTACTCAAGTAATAGTTAACATTAATATAATATAAATATAATATAAAAAGCAAGTTCCAAAAGTCAGAGAAATAGACTTTTAACCAGAGAAATGGAATTACATATATGTTTTTATCTTTTTTTTAAGAGCAAGAGTGGGTCTTCTTGTAGTACTCACATTTTCTTAATGCAGCCCAGAACATAAATCTAGCGTGCCCCTCCAGAAATGCATACACTTTGCGGATATTGCTAATACCAAGAAAGATAGTGTTAGTATATTGAGGTGATGTATTATTATAAGGCTTTAGAGGCCAAAATAATGCTACTTAATACCAGCAGAGCAATACTGAGAAATTGTATATGTGTTTGGTTTACTCCACTATTTTATATCCTGCAACCTAAAAATATTAACTCTGGTGTTATTTCACATTTCTACAGCATTGCAAAAATATTCAGGTATTATAAATTAGATGTGTCAGTCCAGTAAGGTTTCTTAAATTTGTGACTTAGATTTTCCCCTTATGAACAATGCCTAATTACCATGGATTATGCATTTAAACTACAACTAAATTATTTTTTGTCACTATAATTTATTAGATATGCCTGCATCTCTAATACTCCAGAAAGTATTATGGAAAAATTCTTGCCTTTAATCTCTGAGATATTAAATGCCTAGGTATAGATACATTATCCAATATGTATGCAGTATGTTTCAGAATGCTTTCAGAGCTGCTGGGTATAGAGAATGCAAATTAAAATGTTGCAAACTGAGAAGCAATACTGAGGATGCAAACCTAAAAAGTGATAAAAGAAGTGGGGGTAAATAAGACAGAGTTTCCTGGAGGAATACATTTTGATTTGTATGTTGGGGGGGGAACCATCTGAGTGGACAGGCCTAAGGGGAGGGATATTCAGGAGTGGGATGATTTAGCATAGGCTAAAACCTTGTCACCACCCAGAACTAGAAAAGAAAATACTAGCACTTTTTTTTTTATTCTATCAGCTGTTGGGCATTGTCTTTTGATGGTTAATATTAATAATGTTATTTGTATAACATGTTAAAGTTTACCAGGCACTTTTGATTTAATTTGACCCTCACAATGGCTTATTTTCTTTTAGATCCAAGATCTCTAGATGGACCTAAATTTGTGTGCTGCTGCTTAAACTCAGGGATTTTTGAATGTTAGAAAAGCTGACTTCTGAAGAAGTCATTTCATTAATGAAATAGACATTCATGATTTCATTATGGGTTAAGAGTGTGAACCAACACATTTATTTTTAAAGATTAAGAAATATTTTTTTCCATTTAAATAATGTTTTAATAAAGAGAAATTCTATGCAAAACACCCCTGGAAACATTTAAGGGATATTTAGTGCAACTTATTGCATCAGAGTTTCTTTATCACTGCTATTTCAATAATTGAAGTATAATAAAAAAAAAATCCAACCCTAAATTTTTAATATGGATCAGGCCCAAGCTTTTTCTCAATGAAAAGTGTTGGGAAGTGTTCACAGGTATAACTCTATCAGACACTTTTAGTAGTTGAGGTTACAATTTCAACCTTCTGACTATACTTGGTCAAATACTGACATCCTCTCTTCATGTGACAAGTTGTTAGGAATGGAAGGGAGATAAATTTTTATTTCTGATATTTGTATCTTAACATACATTTATGTTTTACCTTTTTGTATGGTGTTTTTCATTAAATACTTTATTACACTTGTTTATAGAAGAAAGTGTAGAAAATATAATGTACAGAAAAGAAGAATAAAAAGAAAATCATAACCTACCTGCAGAAATTCACATTCTTCCTGTGTTGTCTCTTGTGACAGCAACAGGGGGTGAGGATCTTCATAATGCTCTACAAAGAGGTGGAACTTGCTCTTGGAATCAATAGTGAGTACAGCAAGAGGACGTTAATGCGTTTACACCCCAACATAAAGGTATGAAGGTTCATCTTGCTGAACCGTGTGTCTTCTTTGTTATTCTGTAGTTTTCCAGTTATGTTTTGCTTTGAACAGTGGTCATCTGTAGTATTTCCTAGTGTATATTTTGAATGAATAGCATCATGTCCTTCTCAGAAACAAAACAAAATAGCGTACTTTCTAATACTTCGGATATTGTTGGAGTCAGTAGAGTTCACATTTCTGCTTCTCTTACCCTGATCATTTAGCAAAAATCACACTTCGTAGAGTTGTTTCAATATGTAAGAGGCCTGTCAAGTTCCCATACTCCTCATTAAGATTATCCTGGAAACTCTGAGATGCGATCTCCCTGTTGTATCATGTGAATACTGATAACAACAAAGAAAGCTCCTCGGGGATTTAAAGTGCTTTTCTTACTAGCACCTCGTATAAAATGCTAATAAAGTAAATAAGCATGATAAGCAATTTGGAAAAAGCTATTTGATATTCTTCCAAAGACATAAAGCCCATCAATAAGTATTGCCCAGTTATTGAGATACATCCTGACAATAAATCAATAAATCTCTACCAGGCTTAAAGTACATAGCAATTATACATTTTGCTTTGCTCAAAAAAGATATTACATGTAAACAGTAACCAAAAGACAGCAGGAGTGGCTATACTAATGTCAGGCAAAATAGACTTTAAATCAGAAAAGTTTATAATAGACAAAGAAGGATATTATATATTAACCAATAGTTCAATGATGTAAGAGAAAACAATTATAAACATTTACGTACCTAATAATGACCATCAAAATATCTAAAGCAAACACTGACAGAATTGAAGGGCAAAATGGCCAGTGGTACAATAATAGTTGGACACTTTAATATCCCACTGACAATAATGGATTGGTATATACGTAGAATACAATATTATTCACTCTTAAGAAGGAAGGAAATTCTGACATGCTAAAACATGGATGAACCTTGAAGACATTATTCTAAGTAAAATAAGCCAGTCACAAAAAGACAAATATTGTGTGATTCCATTTATATGCGATGCCTAGAGTAGTCAGATTCATAGAGACAGAAAATACAGTGCTGGTTGCCAGGGGTTGGAGAAGGAAGGAATTGGGGAGTTAATGTGTAATGGGTATAGAGTTTCACTTTTGCAAAATGAAGAGTTTTGAAGATGCATGGTGATGATTGCACAATATGATCTTAATACCACTGAATGATACACTTAAAAATGGTTAATATGGTAAATTTTATGTTATGTGTGTATTTTACCACAATAAAGAAATATGTTATTAAAAAAACACTCTGCAAAGTTTTTGGAATGTTTCTACTTAAAGACATACAAAAATAGGATAGGTCAGTCTGGGATCATTTAGAGAGAATCCTATTTGAAAGCAGGAAGTTAATAACTCCTCAAAGTACCTTTCAAATCAAGAGCTGACAAAAGATCTATATCCATATGCTTAATATTTCCACTCAATGGCTGCCAAAATATCAATATACTTATTAAAAATGTTGCCAGAGATAGATGCTGGTTAAAAATTTTTGGAGTATTTTAAAAAATAATCCCAGATCTAATCTTTTTAGAGGGGAAGAGGGAATCAGCTATTTCATTGAGTTGACTTTTATTGAAATATATGACCAAACTTCAAGCTAAAGGGCAATTGCCCCAAAATGTAGTATGGGCAGGGATGGGGGGGGGGCTTAAAAAGCAGCTAGGAGTCTTCTGCTAAATACTGAGAATAAAATTAGAAGTTTGGAGATTTTCTTTGGTGTATATGGAACCCATTTTGGTATTTGAATTACAGAAAATGCTATTTAGGGGAGGAAACCAACTTATTTTATTATAATATGAAGGACATTTTTAAAAGCATATTACATGTGGGTATTTTTGTTTTGTTTTGTTTTGTTTTTACTCCCAAGGTGATGAGGCACCCAGATCACGTGTCATCCAGCGTATATCTTTGGGCTCATCATGAGAAACTTGTCATCATCGACCAATCTGTGGCCTTTGTGGGTGGGATCGACCTGGCCTATGGAAGGTGGGATGACAATGAACACAGACTCACGGATGTGGGCAGTGTGAAGCGTGTCACCACGGGACTGTCTCTGGCTTCCCTCGTAAGTAATTCCAAACCTTTACAGAAATGCATAAAGGGGACACACCTCGTGCAAGTATGTATCATAGCGTGGCTTATTGATTGAGTGAGTGAGAGGTGGCGTATCCCTGGAGGAGAAAGGCAGGTTGGGTCAAGCAGATATTCCTGGTTTCAGATACCACCTAGTAACCCTGGAACTTTGCATCTCTTGCTCTCAGTTTCTTCTCTTGTAAGAAGAGGAAACAGATTCGATAGAGCATTTGCTATCTCATAGTCAGCTCCTTTGTTTTCCATATAAATTAAAGATTTACTTCCTATTTGAAAAAAGTTCATAAGTCCTTTGTGGCAATTGGGCTTTAAGTTGAATAAGCAGCCTTATTATACAGATAGCTGCCAAGGTTTTTGGAATATTCCTAGTTAAATGCATGTAAAAATAGGATAGGTCAATCTGAACTCATCTAGGGAATTCTATTTGAAAGCAGGAGGTTAATAACTGCTCAGACTCCCTTTTACACCAAGAGCTGCCAAAATATCTATATGCCTATCTCCATATTATTTCAACTCAAGTGGTGGCCAAAATATCAATACACTTATTAAAACATATGATGAGCTCCATCTTATTTTACTACTGATGGATATGCTGGCAACTTTTCTGGAAAAATGGAGATTGAGTGAATAGGTAATAGGGAGAAGAGTTGGCAGAAAAAGCATTGCTTAATGTTTATCAGAGGAAGAAGTTCAATAGCTAAACAGTGAATGTAACTTATGTAATTGTATTTGAGATAAAAAGATTAATTGGTATGAAATGTCAAGAGTTTGGCCTACCGAAAGAAGAACTATAATACAAAGGCACGGCTGGTATGCCTTTGGTAGTATTTAAACAGCTCCCAAGAATCCTCACTGCCCTGCGTCTGACCTCACACCTTATTGGGTGTCTGTTGCGGAGCAACTTCTATTGTGTGCTGACTTTACAACTCACCTGACTGGAATTAAAGGGCCACACTGCAGTGTGTCTTATGCAGTCTCTCTCTCTCTCTCTCTCTCTCTCTCTCTCTCTCTCTCTCTCTCTCTCTCTTTTTCTCTTCTCTTCTCTTCTCTTCTCTTCTCTTTAAAAATAATTTCCTTAGGCTGAAACATCAGAGTCTATGGAATCCTTAAGCCTCAAAGATAAAAACAAATTTACTAAAAAGCTGCCCATCCGGAAGAGTGTTGATGATACGGATTCAAAACTGAAAGGAATAGGAAAGTCCAGAAAGTTCTCCAAATTTAGCCTCTATCGGCAGCTCCAGAGGCACCACTTGCAAAGCGCGGACAGCGTCAGCAGCACTGAAAGCACCTCCAGTAAGTCCTAGTCTTTGCCCCAAGTGATCTGGACAACGCCCTGTTTCTCCATGGCCAGACACCCTATTCTTGTTTTTAAAACCTGTCTTTCTATAATGGAGTAAAATGAGCAATGCTGAAAGGTCACTAGAGCCTCTTAGTCAATATCATGCCATCTCATGGCTTTGTTGGCCTCATTTTAGAACAGATTTCTTGTTTTATTCACAGAAGTAGTTCTAACAACCATAACACATGCTTCAGATGGTAGCAGAATGACTAAGCATTTATTAAATAATGCCATGTTATAAATGAAAAAAGATAAGCATGAGGAACACTTTATAAAGTTTTCATAGAAGAAATTTCATGTCTATCCCCATCCAGCAATACATCAAGCTTATATCCTCAAACATCAGAAATTTTGCATTTATAAATTTACTGTTCTTTTTTAAACCTGTCTGAGATCCCTGTAATTTTTCTGTTGCACAGAATTTGTGACTGATTTTGTAGCCTTGCCTAGTTTTAACAGCGATCAAACCTGCTTTCCAGTTATAAAACCTGATATATGCACATATTTCTTTGTAAAAAAAAAGAACTCTCAACTTTCTCCAGGTTACTGTAATCACTGTAGAAGTCGTCAGAATTTAATCCATGGTTTAAAGCCCCACTTGAAACTCTTTCGCTCTTCCAATGATTCTGAGCAGGGGCTCGCTAGACCTAATGCTGGTAAGTGATTGTGTGTCACGGCACAACGTGCTTAGGCTTTGGCTGCTGCTGCATGAGCAGAGTGCATTTCTGGATTGGCTTTTTGTTCACACGGTGTTCACGCCACGTACGTTATTGAGAGCAAAGCACGGGAGAGTACACAAGATTCCTGTCCCCCACGAACCTACACTCCAGCACGAAGATAAAACATACCTAATGCAGTACAGTGCCTGGCGCCTGCAGTTCATGGTTTTGTATTGTAGAAGTTCTGTGGAAGGTAGGAGGACTTGTCTGTTGATGAGCCTTTAGAAAGACTTTCATGAGACGGGGACAGTGGAGTTAGGTTTGGAAGTAATTTGATTGGGCCGGTGAGGATAGGAAGGCATTGCAGGGGAAGGAGATGAGGGGAGCAAAAGTCCGGAATGGGAAAGCACCAAGTGCATCAAAATGGTAGAAAATATTGTACATCATTCGGTTGAGATGTGGTCTGTGCTGTAAGACCAGGAAGACATACAGCAGTCACATTTGGACTCCCCAACATAAATAAGGAATTGGACTTCTATTTTGTGAAGAATCTTGATGACCATTGAATGGAGGTTTCATGCTCTCAATGTGAATTCTTTGAAAATTGTCCCCTGATAACCTTTTTCAAGAAGAATCACATACTTGTAAGTTAATCAGGTCTAATCTCCGGTGGTAGGAATGAAGAGGGTTTGGCAGTGGGTCAGATACAGGGACAAGTACTCATCATAATAGATAGCAACTGTAATGCAATCACAAGCCAGTGTTTATGGTGTGCAGGCAGCCTGTCACTGCCCCACGCCCTTGTGGTGCTTGGTTGTAATAGTAGTGTTGTCTCCTTTTTACAGGTGGGGTGACTCAAGGTTAAAGGTGCAAGTGACTTGTGAAATGAAGTTCCAGTTCATCAGCCTCCCAGTGCTCATGATTCATATTTGTGATTTAGCAGAAATGTAGATTACTACACCACGACCTTTTGTTCTAGTGTCGTATTTAGGAGACAACTGAGTTAGAGCCCAGCTAACAGGGCTGGATGTGAGTCATTTGTGGCTGGCAGGAGCTAATGAACTTGATAAATGACCCTGGACGTTGAGCAGTGGCTTCCAGCATTCTTTAGTCTAGGGACCCTGTGGGGTTTTTTGTTTGCTTGTTTGTTTGTTTTTAACTGATTATATAAGAACTAAAGCTCCAATGTAACTATTAAATGAATTTGTATGGTATAAATCATCACATTGATATACATTAAAACATGGATAAGAGTTTGAGGAGACATTTTATTCATTTAACATGCAGCTTTACTTTATGCACATGTGGACTCAGGAACAGTTCACAGTGATTCCTATGTTCCACGGAGCTTCAAAGCCCTGAGACAGGGAACCTGGTGGCCTCTGGGAAGTCCAAGGAGGCAGGTCAGGGTTGAATGCAGGGGCAGATATTAAAAGTAAAGGGTTGGAAACAGGTCCAGGCAGTGCTTTGTAATTCCACGTGTGGCTTTGCTACTTTAGGACTAAAGTTGAAAATGAGATGGAGGAATGAGGTGACGAACCCTGACGTGGAGGGGTCCGAGTTCTGACGGAGCAGTTGTGTTGCTGACAGTAGGATGGGGCAAGTGGAAATGCAGATACAAGCCAGGTGCTGAACACAGTAGGCAATTCAGGCCAATGTCAGGCTGAGCAAGGTGATCTGAGGACACTGATGGGGGTGATTTTCAGGTGCTGATGGAAACATCCCTAATAAACTGGATACTTGTCTAGTGCAGCATTGTTTTATTAAGAGAGAGAGAGAGAGAGAGAGAGAGAGAGAGAAAAGTAAACAGCCTAAATATCCAAGAGTAGGGGGATGGTGAAGAACATAATGAGTGCCTATCCCCTTGAGGGAATTGTGCTCATTAAAAACTAAGTAGGGATAGACAAATAAATATACATGATTCATTTGTTTCATTAAAAAAGTATTTATTGAACTCCTATAATATGCCAGTCACTCTTCTAGGTACTAGGGATTTGGTGAACAAAACAGATGAAGTTCAGTTAACTAGTTGGTGATTAAGGATGGGAATTGTATATATAAATAATTCATCAAACACAATATATCAGGTAGTCAAAATTATCATGGAGAAAAATAGAGCAGAGAAAGGGGGAAGGGCAGAGGGGAGAAGTTACTACTTTATAGCTAGTGGTCAGGGAATTCTTCTCTAAAGAGGGGAGTTTTCAACAGAGATCAAAAGGAAGAGAAGAAAAGGGATAAGAGAAGGTCTGTGGGGAGGGCGTCCCAACCAGGAGGAATAGTGAGTGAAGGGCTGGGAGGCAAGAGGGGACTGCTGTGTTTCAGGAATGTGGCTGGAATGGAGTGGGCTAGTGGACAACGACAGCACGAAGTCAGAGAGGGCTAGGAGGTTTTGTAAGGGCTTGCAGCCCTTGAAAGGATTTTGACTTTTACAACTGAGTGAGACAGAAAGTCATCCCGTGGTCTTGAGTAAAAGACAGACAAGGTCTGACGTGCATTTTTATAGGCTCATTCTTCAGAGCAGACCGGGGTGGCCAGTAGGGACCAGGCAGGTACCAAATACATCTTAGGTGGAGCTCACAGCATTTGCTAATGCACTGCGTGTGGGATATGAGAGATGGAGAGGGCACTGTCCAATAACTACATTAACATACAAATTGAATTTTTTAATATGAAAAAAAAAGGAATTTATGTAAAAAGGGAAGCCAAAGGATAGTTGAGTTCTTCTTGCGCAGTGCTTTGCAAAGTCTGTTCCTTGGACCCTGGTGTTTCTCAGGGGCTCTGAGGAGGATACTGAGCATGTGGGCCCCTGGCCCTCCCACCTCTTTTGGTACCTGATTCAACCAGAACAGTCCTGCTTGTATTGTTTTATATATTGGAGTTCTGTGTGCATTTGTGTTGAAAAAAAAAAAAGTAAGATTCTATTAATAATAAAGGAAGTTTAAAGAGCGTAGCTCTACATGTAAATCATGTAATGACTTAAACGGATATCGACTGGTATGCGTAGGACTTGAAACCCACACTAAGCATAGAGGGACTCTTCATTAGAAATTTGAAACTGAATGTTTGCTTGTGTTAATAACTTCCTGTCTTGAGGATACGCAGTGGAGTAGCTTCTCTGCAATGTTGCTTTCACTTGTATGCAGAAAGCCGTCATGAATTGGGCATCCTAGTGAGCCTTACCAGAGGCGCATGCGAGATCGCTGTGGGTGTTTCAGTAGAAAAACTGCACCCAAATCAGTTCACCTTACATGTAATTAGCAACCATGGTAGGTTTCTGCAGTATGTATTTAAATTCAAAATCACTCAGCCATCTTCAAGGTTTTTTTTTCAAAATTATGTTGTAAGAGGGAGAATTTCAAGTTGACATTACTTTGCTTCATATGATGTTCTTTTAAAAGGACTGAATTTTACTCTTCTTATATTCAGCGATTATTTGCTGATCTTTTCCTGTTAAGCAAGATTAAATATATGGCTGGGATGGGGGGAGTCATTTTGCAGTTTAGTTGAGACAGGCATTTCAAACTCAGATATCTAAACAGGAGGGATAATGAATCGCAGGTTAAGCTATTTTTAGACTTTGTTCTCAGGGATGCAGGGTATAGGGTGTGTAAGACTTATGTTCTCTTGTCAGAGAGCTTATTATCTAATAGATAAGTGTCAGTTTAAAGTATTTTACTAACCTAGTGTCTTAGTGATTCATCAGGGGGAGAGAACCCTACTGACAAGAGTTGTCCGTGAAGCCTTCTCCATAAATGTAAACCCTGATCCACAATTCCAAAAGCCAAAAAAGTTTCAAAAACCAAAATATTTTTTAAAAATTTAACTGATGGAGGGCCCATTTTGGAACTGGCAGAAATTCAGTAGATGGAGACGAAGAATGGGAAAACCAGGCGTTCCAGGTAGATATTATATCATAAGGGACAGATACGGGAAATCCCAAAGGTATTTATTTCAGACCTAGGTGTGCAATCTAGTAAATACGTAGAGGTCTACCATTTCATGCAAAATCCTGGGTGTCATATGTGCTTCAGAAATTAAAAGATTCTGGATTTTAGAAAGGTAATATAATACCTATGCTCTATGTTATGTTTTGCGCCTTGCAGGGTTCAGGGAATACCCTGTAAGTAAATCGTTTATATTTGTGCAACACCAAATGGGATAAATAAAGATAATAACCTCATGTCATTTCAGGTCAGGTGTTGCTAACAAATGAGCTGTGGAAAAACATTTGGTTTTCCAGAGCTTTGGGGTTTTGGAATTGTGGTTAAAGGTTAATCAATGTGTGTAGATTGGGCTGATGGGATATATTTGTACCAATATGGAGGGCCTTGAAAGTCAGGGCCTTGAGACATTGAACTTCATCAACTAAATGTTGGCAAATCTCTGGGGGTTAGGGGGTGGAGGTAGGATTTGGAAGGGAAAGGTATAGGGCAAGTGGAGGGGTTAAGGGTTTTACTAAGTTACACCAGAGTCACAACACAGGGAGCCTGGCTGGCTTGTTTCAGGGGGCCTGAGAGTGAAGTGAATGGGACAGACTTTCTCCTAAGGAACCATCAGCAGAATTTCAATAGGATTTGGGAAGTGGTGATGGAGAGATGGGTAGAGGAGACAGTGAAGAGAGAGGAGCCAAAGGTGATGCTGAGGTTTGAACTTGAGTAACTATAAACAGGAAGCAGAAATCTCACGGAAAGACTTGGTTTTGTGGGGATGCTAATGCTTCTAGTGTTACACGTGATTTTAAAGTTCTGGTGGCACAATTAGGTAGACAAGGTCAAGTGAGGCACTAGAAGTGGCTGTAGAGCCAAGCCCAAAAGAGAAGCCAGGGCTAGAGGGGCCCACTTAAGAGAAAGTTGGGGAAAACCTTGTTAGGGAGAAGGAGTGAGATAAGATCCAGAGGATGAGTTGGAGTAATGGTGGGGGAATGCAGCCTCGGAAGCCAAGAGATGAGAGAAAAAGGAAGACATGCCAAAGCCAGAAGTCACTGGGGGAGGGGCAGGAGGACGTCCTTTCCATGAACATCAGCAGCCAGAGTCTGGGCCACTGAGAAATGAGGATTGCAGAAAACGGGCATGAAAAACCTGTACCGAAAGATAAGGCAGGTGCAGTTCTGAAATCCATTGTGAGCCAGATTACAGACTGGTGAGAACTCCCCAGGACAGTATTGCTGGTCTAAAATGCCCTCTGTTTTTATTTTATTTATTTTATTTTTTTTAAAGATTTTTATTGGGGAATTGGGGGAAGGGGAACAGACAAGTTGCTATCCTTTTGTTCTTAAGTCTAGAGGGCAGGGTCACTGGCCCTCATATGTGGGATCCAAACCAGGGCCCTCTGGCATCCCAAGCCAGCTCTTAAACAACGCGCCACTCGGCCGGCCCAAAAATGCCCCCTGTTTTTATATAGGTGCTCGTACGATTCGTAATCTCAGCAACGCGGGGTATTTGGCTCTTTTGCCTTAATATTTTATTTGTTCCTAAGAGGACCTTGATTTTTTTTTTTTTGGAATAGTTAGGCTGACTAAATGCAAAAAACAGATTTCAATTAGGAGCAGGTTGAATGCAATTAGTAACAAGATAATTTTCTAAGACTAAGAATTTCCTTGGTTTTGTTTTTCTTACCGTAAGTGATTGTTAAGTAGACATTAATTTTTGAACAAGTGGATGTGTATATATGCAAAACTTTAGCTTAGAGTTTCTCAATTGACAAAAACAAATTTTATATATACTGTATATACATATATATTTTTTTCAGTTTGGAATTTGACCCATTACTTATTGTATTCTTTGTCCCTTTTTATCTTTCTTTTCCTTTTTTAAACAAAGTGCTGGGCTTACTAAAGAGCCGACAGATGAGCAAACAGACCTAACAGTACTTTGTCGTCTCAGTCCTATAGAGCAGGAAAATAAATTACTGGGAGAAGTCAATAGAATTTTATCTTTCACATTTAGTTTTGTTAATCTTCAGCACTGTAAGACATTTTCCTTTAATAGAAAATTTTAATAACCTTCAAAGATTATTCAGTTTGACATAGAATACTAATAGTGTGGGGAGGTAATTGTTTAGGAACTTTCGCTCTGCAAATACTTATTGATTGCCTGTTGACCTCCAGGCCCTACACCAGGAGGTGATGGGAAGCACTCCCCACTCCCGAACCGTTTCTATTGTAGACTAGTGACAGCAGGGAGGGAGCATCCTTACAAAATGGTTCTACAGCAGTGCCAGTGACAACCTGTCTCTGCTGGGACCTGGGAGGTGTCTCTAGGGCAGGTCACCGCTAATGTGGCTCTTGAAGGATGATGAGGAGATCAGGCTGAGGGACGGAAGAGCATTCCAGGCAGAAGGAGTAATGTGACAACTACACAGAGAGGACAGACCAGGCCTGACCAAACACAGTGAGAAATGTGGTGCACATGGGGCCTGGGTTGTATGGGGAAGACCAAGGACCAGAGAGAGAGAGATTGACACCAGTTTGGGATGTCTATATACACTGAGCCCTTAGGATTGGACCCCCTGTAGGCAGAAGGTGATCCTAGAAAGCTTTTAAGCAAGGAGTCTGCATTTTTGAAAGACAATTCTGGGACAGTGTGGTGGTAGAGGGACCAGTTCAGTATTCTCACTGGCTACTGCATGTGGCACTATTTATTCATTCAACAAATACTTTTGCATCCGATGTCTATTTGTTAAGTGCTTCTTTTGTGCCAAGCGCTGCATTTGTGGTTTGTAATTCTGCTGGTCTTCCTGCTTAGTTGTCTCTATGGTCAATGTAGCCCATACACATACAAATGATTTAAGTCAAAGTATTTACCCATGAGTAGAGCTGTCACAGTAAAGCTCTCTGTGAAATGTTGTAGTATGTGGCTGCTTTGCGCCCATATAGTCATATGCTTCGGTCTGTTGTTGCAATAATGTTTCTGGATGTCATTTATAATTTTAGGAATATAGAATGTAAGAGCCCCAAAGATCTTAGATGTCATGTAGGCCAAATTCTTCCTTTCACACATAAAGGATTTCTGACCCAAAATGGTGAAGTTCAGTGTCACTTAGCTGGCCAATCCCAGGGCTGCAATGTTGGCTGCCTACAAATTTGAGATTCTTTCTTTTTGAGAATCAGCAAACAAGAATTAGGTATTAGTTGTTCGTTATATTGGTTGAGGAAAGAGAAAGGCACGCCTTCTTTCTGGCCTCTACACCTCATGTTTCTATGCCTGACCTGGCTTTACTGCTCCCTCATAGGCCCTCCTAGTAAGTTCTTTATTCACAGTTAACTCTGTAATCCATTCTCCCAGTGATCTGGCGGATGGTAAGAATAGGAATGTTGAATTTCATTGTCACATAATGAACCTGGCTATAGCCCCAACTGCCCACTAATAAAAACTTGAGAGAACGTTGTCAGTCCATAGCCGCAGATAGCATAGGCATAGGCTGCCCTAATTTTGAACCTTAACAAGAAAAGTGAAGAGGTCTCTAGGTGTTTCACGAATGAGCCTCCTTCCCTGGGGCTCACCTGAACCACAGTCTCTGAGTGAGTCTTGCTGTGTTCACAGACATGGGCTCCATCCGCAGTTTGCACACAGGCGTGGGAGAGCTGCATGGGGAAACCAGGTTCTGGCACGGGAAGGACTACTGCAACTTCGTCTTCAAAGACTGGGTTCAGCTTGATAAGCCTTTTGCTGGTGAGTACCATGGTAGTGGGTGGCTACTTATAGTTAGTCTTTTACTTGTCAACATCCCAACAAGTATGCGAGTGCATGATCTAATATCTTTTGTTTTCCTTTGTTTTGTTTTGAATATTTGCTAAAGCTTTGAAGACTATGATTCAGTCATATAATTAAGGATTTCTGGTAGTTATCGTAAGAAAAGAACATTGAAATAGAGCTTTGTTTGAAACCTCCAGGTTTTATATAGGCATATATTTGGGGTAATAATCTGTAACTCTGTAAAAGATGCTACCATTCCTTTGATCATCAATTCTACTTAACATCTTCATTTTCTGTCATTAAAATGACACATTTTCAGATTATCGCGGTGCTTCTAGGTGTAAGAGGAGATAGAGATGGCACTGCTTATATAGCCTGGCATTATTTCAATAGGATAAAAAAGAAAAGTAATATCAAGTACACAACCTTAGATCATTTGTCCCAATTCGCATCTTGCCTTGTCTAGTGATTATCTAATACTAATAAGTGCAACGGAAACATGGGGACCGGGGGCGGGGGGGGGGGGAGGCGTGCATGAGGGACTGGGTTCCTCAATGTGAGCTCTAGCTCTGCTTCCCTTGGTTATGAAGATACTGTTCCACCCAAGCCAAGAAATATACATCTAGTGAACATTACCATGTTTCCTTTGACTTATCATAGTTGGGGTCAGCGCTGGGGTCAGAAGGCTTCTGTCCCTGGCACAGAAGTTAGTGATGATCCTTGCCTGGGGCACCTGGGCAGATTTCATTGACAGGTACACCACTCCCCGGATGCCATGGCATGACATTGCCTCTGTGGTCCATGGGAAGGCAGCTCGGGACGTGGCGCGTCACTTCATCCAGCGCTGGAACTTCACAAAGGTACATGGATTGTAGTATTATGATTCAGTCCACGTAAAGGGAGACGGGTCTGGAAGAAAAGAAACGTAGAGAAGTGGCAAGAAGGGGACGCGGTGGCCATAGCTGTGTCATTCATCTGCTGTTGGGTGCCTGGTTGTCAGAGCGCCAGGGCCTCTGGGCAAAAGAAAAAGAAAATGCCCCTGAGCTTTTATGCGAGAGATGATTCAGAGCACAGAGGGGTCGATGCTACTATCACAGCCAGTGGTTGGATGCTCGGTGCTGTGATGAAGCATCTGGCCTGGGCTGATAGTCACCTGGAGGGCTATTGGAGGAGGGTGGGGGCCTTGTTTAGTGGAGAGAGCTCGGACTTTGAAGTCCTTCCAGTCTTGGCATTGCACTGGGTTCATACTGGTAGAGGCTTCTGGCTGAGCACAGTGAGCAGGATGAGAAGAGGCAGCCATCTTTCTGTTCTCTGGATTGGGTCTTCTGTAGTACGCCTTTGTTACTCTTAAGAATTTGATCTAATATTCATAAGTTAAATACCTATCATCCAGGTGTTATTAAGTTTCCATTTTATTTATGTTAAATGATGAGGTATTATGCTCCCTGATAATTTGGAGAAAGACTGAGTTTTATCAACAACTTAGAGTCTCAACATACTTTACATTTACATGGCATTATAAACAGTGGCAGTTCTTAGAAATAATGGAAATATCTTTAATAAAAATTTAGGAGGCATGAGTGAATAAACAGAGTAATATTACCTTTAACCTACTAGACAAGCAAAGATAAAAAAGCACTGCTAATACCTGCAATAGGGCTTGGGTTTTTTTTTTTTTAAATTGGGGAATTGGAGGAGGGGAACAGTGTTGGGGAATTGGGGAGGGGGACCAGCCAAGTTGTTGTTCTTCAATTTTCGTTGTGGAGGGCGCCAGCCGCCATCTGGCTGCCCGTTGGCAGTTCATGGCCTCTAAGCTCAAGGTGCTGTGTTACAATCTTAGTCGCGGGTGGGCATAGCCACCATCCCATGCGGGAGTCGAACCAGCAGCCTTGTTGTTAAGAGCGCACACTCTATCCACTGAGCCATTCGGGCGGCAGCTCAGCTCAAGGTACCCAGTTCAGTCTTAGTTGTGGGCGGGCATAGCCCACCTTTGAACAGGCAGTCTTGTTGTTAGGAGCACATGCTCTCACCAGCTGAGCCATCCTGCCACCTGTTGGCAGCTCAGCTCAGGCGCAGAGTCACGGGCCCATGTGGGAATCGAACTGGTGGCCCTGTTGTACAGAGCTCACGCTCTTAAGCTAACTCTTAACCAACTGAGCCACTTGGCCGGCCCAGATTTGGGATTTTTTATCTTCTGGGAGGTAAAATTGGTACAACACCAAAAAGCTTTTTAAAAAGTATACAGCCTTTGACTCAGAAAATCTTTTTCTGGTTTTAAAGAAGTAATCCAATAAAGTAACTTATTTTGACATTGCTTTCAATAATTCAAATAAAATAATAAATAACTGAAATGTTCACTAATAGGAATTTTTTAAACAAATTATGATCTTCCATACCATTTTACTGTGAAGTTATTAAAAATGATATATGCTGCTATATTGCTATGGCAAGATATCTACAACATAGTAAAAAAATCAGTTTACAAAACAATAATTCCATTTTTGTAATTATATGCCTCTATAACTCTAGATTATATTTAAGCTTTCTTTAAAAAAATAAAGCAATACATATTCCCTACAAAAGGTGAAAGAAGGAAAAACGGAGTTCTCTGTCTGGGAAATAGAAAGAAAATAATGATTATCTATTGCCTCTTCACCTACAAACATCCACTGTTAACAATTTTTTTTTCTATTTCAAATGAACTTGAATTTCTTTTGTAATCACAAAGTAAGGAAGAATGGAACTGTTTTCTCATTTAAATCTTTTTTTTTACCTGTTTTCCTTTATTTTAGATTATGAAATCAAAATATCGGTCCCTTTCTTATCCTTTTCTGCTTCCAAAATCTCAAACAACAGCCCATGAATTGAAATATCAGGTGCCTGGGTCCGTCCGTGCTAACGTACAGGTCAGTCTGGCTTTCTTTTTCACAAAGTGCTACTGGGTAAAATGACTGTTACTGGAGTAAATGCCTATTACACTGGCTTCACATTTTTCAATAAGGATAACTCCGAGGGAAATTTGAATGGACCTTTTAAAATTTAGTATTATATTTCCTGTTTAAAATGTATTCAATTTTTTAAAAACTCTTTTATAAATATAATCAAAGCATACCCTTAAAAAAGACCAGTCAAGGAAAAGCTTGTCTTTTAATTCCTTTTGAAGTGACTCGAGCAACATGATCCACAATAAACCAGGGGACTGATACTGGTTAAGCACCAAGAATGTGGCGGAAACTTTGCATCTAGGAAGCTAGTTATAATTCCGTCTAATTTTAATTCCTAACTAACCAAATGCCTTTTAAAGGGTCTTTTAGTTGAGAAAGGAATTTGCTTAATAGAGTCACAGAATTTTGCTATATCCAGCTAAACCATCTCAAATTACAAAGATGAGAATTAAGACCCAGTGGGACTATGAGACTTGTCCAGGGCACCTAACTAGGCATCGCAGAGCTTGAAATCCTACTCTGGTCCATTGTTAGTCGATCTGCTCCCTCTGCCAATTCCAGCTCAAATATCCTGAGATCATGCAAGGACAGAACTGGGATGGGGCACTTCTGGCATTGCCTTTTGTTCAAAGTTGTCACTGTCAGCATCAAAAGTATTGTTTAAATAAAGATCCAGGAGTCTGTTACTGACATCACTAATATTGATTTACATAATTTGGACATGGATTCTAGGCAATATGATGATATAAATGAAATGCCTAATTCAGTTACTTTATACTATGTGCCAGTAGAGTTGTGTGTGTATAAGAAATAAAAAGACATTTCAGACCATAAATCAAAAAATAGAACAATCAGAAAGATAAACCACTTAAGATAAATACCTATAGCAAATACTTAGTCTTCCAGGCTAAACGAGACAACTAATTTAAACTTAGAGGCATATATATATATATATGAATTCATGTAAGTTAATATTTTATGAACATGCTTAATTTTATTTTACTGGAAGGGAAAAACTGCCCATGATGTAAGATAAAATAAGAGAGTTAATATTAAAAAACAAGAGAATTTAAGATTTAAGATAGCATTAAAATTGACTGAATGATCAACTTATTCAAGTTAGCAGATACTAATTAAGCATCTGTTGAAAAGGCATTGCTGGGAATGGTACATTTTTATGATCAGCAAAGAACGTTTTATCCATGTTGCTATCTGTATGTCTTCTAATGCCTGTTGGTGAAGCCCTGTTTTATATATTTTCACCCAGCCACTCTGGTAAGGCAGATAGATATTCTGCATGTCCACGCTACAAAATGTCTCCCTTGATTCGCCTTCTCTGCATCACTGGATGTTGTTGTGTTAGAGATCGGGCTAGATCAGAGATCTCTCCTGTATGCGCACGTGTTCATCCTTGATACGCTCATGTGGGCTGGACTCAGGAACTTACAATGCCAATTAATTTGAAAGGATGTTTACCAAGACTCACTCATTAATTCTTTTATTCAATCAACATTTGTTTATTAAGTGCCATTTGTTTGCCCAGTGAAGTCATCAAAGCACACTTGGATGCCAAGGAGACAGAAAAGGAGTTCTCTACCTCGGAAAACAGTTAACCGGGGGGAGAGAAAGCTGTGATGTTAAAAGAATTCAGTTAGCACTACAAGGTGTGGTCTGGGACTAAATGCCAGTGTGAAAGTGTGGACCAGCACGCTGTGAGAGCTCGGCAAATGAGAGGGAGAGAACTAGGTGTCCTCGCTAAGGAAGAAGCTTGCGTGGTCAGGCGATGGTGGAACAGCTGCAGCAAACCATTTGTTCTTGAAGAAATGGTAGATGAAGTTTTGACCTCTATGGGCATAGAGTGCTGGCCTGGTTCATTTAGACCTGATTTGGGAGGTGTTAGTGAAATCTGGAACTTTTTTTCTTTCATCCAGCAAGAAGTGTGATAGATGGATGTTTTATAAAGATTAACCTAGATCAGAGTTCCTCAAACTGAGTTTTGCCTATAAAATGCTAATAGCTATTGTACAGAGAAAGATTCCCATGGACAGAAACATTTTTGCAGAAAATAGAATTTCTTGGTGCCTTTGTTATGCTGATGTGTATCATGAACTCATTAAGAGTGAATATGCTGAGAATTTCCCAAGCTTAAATGATGAGGATCTCTCATTTTGTCACATGTCTGTTTGCACCTCTCTGAACAAACACACTTTGGAACCTAAAGCTTATCCATATGAAGAACTTATTAGACTAGAGAAAGAACAAAAGCCAGGAGACCAGTAAAGAGGCTGTTACAGTAATTCTAGCATATACTAATTTTGTATTTGTAAATGAGTATTCTTTTCCTTAACGTGGATTCCCTTGCAATTTGAAAAGTGTTAGCCCTCTCAAAACCTGTATCTCTACTGGTTGCCAGTTGATGTTCTTCAGAACTGCTGAAATAACTCCAGTTGTGAAAGCAGTGGGGAAAGCCAGGCAATGCATCCTTTTAAAGAAGGAAAGTCTGAGATGAACAGAAACTGAAAAGAGAAAAGAAGTCTGTTTCATTTCTCCCTTTTGGTAAAGTTCTGACCATGGTATTGTTTCACTTCGCATTATTTATTGGCTCTAGACATTATCCATCTCGTTCTGGACATTACTGTTTTCAAGTCATGAATATATAGTGCTTAGAGGGTGAAAGCAATAATCTGGCCCAATCCCTGGTTTTCTAGAGAATCCAGAGGGAGGCGCATGGGGAGCTAGGACCTGCCTATGTAAGCTACTTAATTTTTAAAGGGTTTATTGTCGTATTTTCAAGTCATCCTCTCAGCTATGATGTGCAATAGTCAAATAACTATAACATGTCTTGTTTGAGAAATTTAATAAAATTCCTTCTTAGGTTTATTCTTTTTAACACAGATTTTAACATAATTTTTAACATAGTTTATTCATAACATAACTTAGAGACCATAAGCTCCATTAACTGAAAAGTGGCAATATAATGTAGCAAGGGAAAGAGGCAGATTCTAGAGTCAGCTTTGCTACATACTAGCTGTGTAACCTTGGGAAACTTACTTCACCTCTCTGAATGCATTTCCTTCATTTGTAAAACAGGTATCGTAATAGTATATGTCCATAGCATGATGATGGTTAAATAAATTAGTCCATGCAAAACACTTAGAAGGGTGCACCAGTTTAACGTATATCAATATTAGCTACAGCCTTCAAGCTTCCCTAGTGTTTTTAGAAGTTTGTAACAAAGAAGTTGACATTTCTCAGGATGGCTCACCAGGCTAGTTCTGGATACAAAATCTTTATACCATATACTATTTATTGAAATGGCAAAAAAGAACATTTCTTAAAATTGATAATAAAGGACATTCATGTTATTCTTTCATCTGCAGAAGGAAACCTAATTATTTAATATTTTTAATATAAAGACATTGAGTCCAGTCATCTTTGGTCACATACTGCTGGGAATTCCACACCAGCCATTGTGCACAGCTGTTGCGAAGGCTGACACAGCCAGCCAAGGAGACGAGAGCTGTGGCTGATACAAAGGAGGCCAGCCCCCACCAACAGGAATTTCTGCTTTTCAGAAAGTAATCCAAACTTGAGAGTGTACTTTAGCATTTTCTACTGACACTTTTAAAATAATCTTGGGTGTTTCCCCACAGTGCTGGGCATTCTCAGAAGTCTTCCAAGAGCACTCAGAAAAGTTATAGCAGCATAACGATTGCATTGTTCTGTACATCTGAAACTAACAATAAAAAAAAAAGTTATAGCAGGAGAATGTGTGGGGGCGGGTTTGGAGGAAATATACACAGAGTATATTGAAAAACTTTTCTTCCCTAAAAAGAACAAACTAGCTTCTTGAATGCCATCATTACCACTTAAGAGAAATGACCTAGACAGAGGTCACTTGACATGCCTGTTAAAGTAAAAGAAGATTACTGATGCCAAATTAGCATCAATTTAGAATCCAAACATGGGAATAATCCTTTTTATTACATTGGTCAGCTAATAGTAGAAAAGCCATTCCTTAGAAAATCATGGCTGAGAAGGCCTACCAAATTAAGGGAAATAATTCCACTGAAGTCTTGTCTTCAATCTCTCTATTAAAAAAGAAAAGAAAATATACAGGCAACTGTGAATGACATTTAAATTATACTACTGGAAAAACTTGTTCCCAAGCTTGGGATAAATGTCCACATGACATGCCAAAGGACACCAGTGTAGGAATCCGTGTAGATTTCAAAGGACAGCAAAATGTTTTGTACTGTGATAGGAAAAAGAAAGCCACTTAGTTTATCCCTAAGGCAGTTTCTTTCCATGGAAGCTGTTTTCCATTAATGGACCAGGTCTTCGTCCAGTATCACAGCCAAGTGTGCTCCGGTGGGCCCTCTCTGGCTGAAGCCACACGAGTGAGAATGCTTGCTCTGTGCCCCGCACTGCACTATTTTTTTGTGGATTACCTCATTTAATATGCACCAATTTATAAATAAGGCCCCTTTGGGACCCCTTATTGTTACAGATGAGGAAACAAGGACTTTGCAAGGTTAAAATAACCTTGAGTAAGTGGTGGGGATGAGACTGGATTCCAAGCGGCCTGCGTCCAGCACCTGAGGTCGTAACTGTTCAGCAGACTGTTTTGAATAAGACCCAGGATGGTTGCAACCACCAGAGGCTCTAGCCAGGCACAGTGGCTGTCAGGAGTGCCTTTGGTATCATCTTCTGTTGCCACACCCCCAAATCCATCCTCAGCAGCCTTTCTGAATCTTTCTAGCTTCCTAGAGCCCTTCACTATACTTTTTTTTTCCTAGGACGTCACGCCCCTTAAGACTTATTCTTCAAAAATTGTATCTTCTCCCTCTCCTTCAGCCTTAAGGTTAACTTTTGTCCCCTTTTGTACAGTCAAAAGGATGACGTTATTAGAAAAATTTGCACGCTGTGGTGTGGATGACACTCAGCTACAGAAAACTGCTTATTAGAAGGAGCGTGACAGTATGTGGGAGATTCCTGAACAGAATCTGCTTCTTGGTGCTCCTTACCTGCTGTGCTCCTCCATTCAGACTGGCAGACGACGGCCCAACAATTTGAGCCCTTCCCTTCTCTCCCCAGCCCATGCATGCCATTTGAGCTTCCACACAGATGCCAACTTCTGCAGGAAAGAAACATAAAAGCTGCTTTTGTCTTCACAGTCTTTGTTCCCTGACTGACTTGGGAGCTTAGGGAAATACAAAGGAATTAAGATATATGCTGGATTTATTGGGAATTCAAGCATTATAGTATGAGAAAACGCACTTGGGACACATACTAAGCAAGTTTTGAAAGTTTTCTTTCAAGAAGAGCTTTCTGAATTTCAATCCATATATTCAACTTGGGTATGCTGTATGTTAGGGCCCAAGAGATGGCTATCTTTTAAGTTAAAGAATAGGACACAGTTCAAGGAAGATGACTGGTTCTAGTTACCACTTTGAGGCTAAAACATAAAATGAGAAATATGCCCTTTTTATATACTTTAAAAATGTGTATTCAAACTCTAGTTTTGAAAAGTGTGGGTTAGATTTGGTACTCAGTATACTTGGGGTACCAAGGTAAGCCACATTTCTGTGTGCATAAGGGGGCATTTGAGGCTGGTCTTGGTTACCCTAGTTTAAAACAGAAATTCAAGACAAGTTGTTTAGGCCAGTTAAGAAAAAGGAGAGAGTAAATCTTAAATTTAAAACAAAAGAAAGTCAATTAAATGTGTTTACCATCTTTGGCTGTTTACAAACTTTCTAGACCATCAAGCATTTAAAGCAGTTGATTTGTACATCACCTCCGGGTTCTGTGGTTCAGGGTGGAGGCAGGGTAAAAGGCAAATTTATATA